ATTGTACATTGTACCACAAGGTTCCATATCAAAAAAGGAAGGTTGGGATTGTTTTGGGGGTTATGACCCTAACCGTTTAGGAAAAAGGGGCCAAAACAATACTTTTCTAATACTTTGTATAAATTGCTTATTTCTTGACCAATTTCAATGGGGTTTAATTCAAAGTCTAGAATACTTGGGGTTCTTTAATATTCTGAATCTAACTGTGTATTTAAATTTTGGATTTTTGGGCCCCATTTTTAAATTGGTCCACTTTGAGGTCCAAAGGGTCCATTTAAATTAAACTTTGTTTGATTTCATCAAAAATTGAATTATTGGTGTTCTTTGATATGCCAAATCTAACCGTATTAAGATTTTTAATGTTTGGGCCCGTTTTCAAATTGGTCCACATTAAGGTCCAAAATTAAACTTTGTTTGATTTCTTAAAAAATTGTATTCTTGGTTTTCTTTCATATGCTGAATCTATTTAAACCATATATTTAGATTTTTGATTTTGGGACTGGTTTTCAAATTGGTCCATATTAAGGTCTATAGGGTCCAAAATTAAACTCAAGTTCGTTTTTAAGAAAAAAATAATTGAGTTCTTTGATATGGTGTATTTTAACATGTATTTGGATTTTGGGCCCAGTTTTCAAGTTGGTCCAAATCAGGGTCCAAAATATAACTTTGTTTGATTTCAACAAAAATTGAATATATTGGGTTCTTTGATATGCTGAATCTAACCGTGTATTTAGATTTTGGATTTTGTGTCCCGTTATTAAATTGGTTCACATTGATGTCTAAACCTTTGTTTGATTTCATCAAAAAGTGAATTCTTTGGGTTCTTTGATATGCTGAATCTAACCATATAGTTAGATGTTGGATATTAGACCATAATAGGTAAATGTCCAATTTCAAATTTTTAAGTTCTTAGACCACATTAATTCTGTCATTGTCAGTGTCAGAAACCTATGCTATGTCAAATATGTGATCAAAATCCAAGTTCAGAGCTGTATTTCACAATTAATAGAAATTGTAAGTAGATTCATAGTTACAGCATCAAATTCTAATTTTAGAGGAGAAATTATGAATAAATATAGGTTGAAATTAACTGTTCATTTATATTAGATATTTTGAAAAATAATTGAAGGTAAGTTTTATAGATTTTTTAAAGACATTGTATTACATGTATTAATGATGAATATTTTGAAAAAATTTCAAAATTTTTTTTTCATTTTTTTGGAAATTTTTTGAAGAACTTGGAGGTATTCTGTATAAAAATAATTTGCAGAATGCTATTTATATATATATATATTTTTTATGGAGGGAACACTTTTAGAAACTTGGCTATTAAATATTGTCTATTAATAAATAATTAAATTAAATTCTTGGTGTACTTTGATATGCTGAATCTAACCGTGTTTTTAGATTTTGGATATTGGACCATAATAGGTAAAAGTCCAATTTCAATTTTTTCATTTATTTGACCACATTCATTCTGTGTCAGAAACCTATGCTGTGTCAAATATTTAATCACAATCAAAATTCAGAGCTGTATCAAGCTTGAATGTAGATTTTATACTTGCCCAAACTGTTCAGGGTTCGACCTCTGCAGTCGTAACGAGCTGCGCCCCGCTGAGCATTATTATCCTTTGATATATAGGTTTGATCACATCCAAGCAAGACATTTGTAGCTCATAAAAGATCACTTCAGACCGTGGCCTTTGGTGGCTTATTCACATAAGTTTGTGAGTTCGAACCTTACTTGTGGCAAGTGTGTTCGACTGATCTAGGATTGCCAGTTTCCCAGCCAAAGGTCTTTGGGACTCATGCTTTCTTCACCAAAAATAACTTGCCGCCAATACATATCCAAGGGTGTTGAAAGTGGTGGTAAACATAACAATAACTCAATCAAATTCAAATTCATTTTTTTTCCAGGAAAATTTTGTGCCTTTCCATACCAGTTTGAAAGTCAGTGGGGATCAACTATTTTTAAATGAGTTATACTCATTGGAAATATTAATTATATACGAAATTGCTTTGTAACCACTCTCACACCTACATTTCTTGTAGGATTGTTATGAAATTTATATCAAAGATTTATATTTGCAATGTCTTGGGCGAGATCGAAAATCAGTACTGATTTATTATTTTTACAGGACTTAATTCTCTTTGAAATGGAATCTATATTGAGCATTGCATTGTTGGTACTTTTACACCTACATTTGTTGTCAAATTTTTAGGAAGTTATATCAAAGGCATATATCAGCAAGGTCTTGGAAGAGTGCAGACTAACATTTTTTATTGGAATTATGCCCCTTGGAAATAGAAATTTATAGAATATAACATTGTTAGTGATCTCATGCCTACATTTCATGTAAGAATAAGTTTATAAGCACAAAAAAAATGGAAAATGGTTGCATGACCTCAAGACAGTGTGTTCAACTGTAGATGATCTCTGATCTTAATCCCAGGTTTAAACAATTCTTTTTTGTTTTGTGTCCAATCCATAATTTGATATCTTTTGTTACTTGACGAGTTGATGCATCATTTAAAAACATTATGTCACACACAATTTCAAATGATATTTGCCCTTGACCTTTGACTGAAAGGTAAAAATTTAAGTACATGTACTGTGGATTTATTAATATTCGTTGGATACTAATTTTAGTGGATTTAGTGGGAACAAGGGAACCACGAATTTAAATTTCAACGAATTACAAATTTTCTAAAAGAATATATGCAGACTCTGCCAAAACCACGAAATTTAGTATCCACGAAAATGCAAGTTTTCCTCAATCCATGAAAATTGGTACCCACGAAAATAAATGAATCCACAGTAATTGATTTGGCGGCTTTTTGGCCATATCTGTGTACATTGGCCTTTGGTGTTTAGAATGTGGTGCATCATTCCAAGACAATGTGTCACATACAATTGTAAATGACCTTAACCTTAAAAAGTGAAAATTAATAACTTTCTTAGATGCATCATCATTTTCTTTCACTGAAGTGGAGATGTATGGTTAAGTCTGCTTAAACAGTTCCTCCTAGTTTGATTTTTTCAATGAATTGTCATATCTTTTAGTATCAATCTGTCACATAATCACAGGTGAATGAAAAACAAAATGCCAAGAGTGCAAATAAAAAACCCACATATAGAGGATAGGTGGACATCATCATGGCTAAAAGAAAAACACATCAGCCCAGAAAAGTAAAGATTGAGCAAAATGAGCCCAACAAAAACAAGGGTTTTCGTAAAAGTCAGCAGTTCCTCCTCTACTAGTAACTATTGCCTTGTTTCTCCTGTTTAAATCTGTTGATGACAAAGCATTGTACAATTGCGGGTTGGTAAACCTTGGATATAACATAATTTCCAAGAGTGCATACACTGAATTTGAAATGTTTTACCTGCCTTACTGATTATAATTGAATATGTTTTCAGTTATTTAGATAAGATTTTACAAACTTAACATTACCAATGATTCATATGATGAGGTTAAGGTCATATGAAAACTGACAGACATAATTCCATAAAACAAATATAGATGACCTATTGCTTAAAGAGTATCTGAGAAACTGACCCAACCACAAAACTGAATAGATCTGTGCATGAAATGAGGTTTAGGTCAGATGAACAATTATTCCATACACAAAATATAGCTGACTTAGAAATAGACATGACCATTTAAATTTAACATCATCCAATGTACCATGAAAATAATGTCAAGGTCAGAGGGACGACATGAACGCCTTACAATCATTTCATCAACCAAATATAGTTGACCTATTTCTTGTAGCATCTTAGAAATGGACCTTACCACTTCACTTAACGTTGTAAAAGAGTGAAACATGACAATGAGGTCTATGTCAGATGGACAAGTACACCTTGCAGTCATTCCACACATCAAATATTTATCTATTGCTAACAGTATCTGAGCAACTGATATAACCACCAAAATTTCATAAAAACTATTATTTCAGAGGCAATAACTCTAAATTGAGTTGTCAGATTTGGCTGAAAATTTCCTAGCAAATACATCTGCTGATCATATTTAACCATGTCAGTTATGCTCTTACTGCTTTATTTTTAAAGGTATAAGCCAAAAATAGCATTTTACCCCTATGTTCTATTTTTAGTCATGGTGGCCATGTTTGTTGACTGACTGAAATAAAAAACACAAACTCTATACTAGATACCAAAAAGATCATTTACCCTAAGTTTGGTTGAAATTGGTTAAGTAGTTGCAGAGGAGAAGATCTTTGAAAAAGTATACGACAATGATGTCAGGCAACAAAGACGGACACCAAGTGCTGGCAATTGCTCACATGGCCCTTTTGACCAAGTAAACTAATAAAAAGGAAAAATCATGTTAGAAGTTAAAAAAAATCCAAAATGGCTGGGCCTTATATTCTGCTTGCCATTTTGAGCATAATTGCTAATTGTACAAAAAAATCAAATCTGATATTTAACAATCAGCTGTTTTTTATTGCTGTTACTATAATAAAGACACCCTAAAAGTAGCAAAGTTTTTCTCCAAAGGCACAATAGGCTAATATCAAGATTTGAGCTGTAAACTTTTTTTTTTATAATTAATTTTTTTTCTTTATCATGGATTGACAGGCATCTATCTATAGTGGCATATAATTCAGCAAGTGAGATAAATAAGCATAATCCAGCAAATGAAAGGAAAAAAATTATTTAAATAATAATACAATATAACAAAAATAAAATATATGGACGAATGTTTTAACTTTTTTTTTAATATAATGATAATTGTAATTACAGTACAAGCACATTTATACATTAATAATTCATCATTAAAATATAAACAGGAAACTTTTAACCATATTTGGTTTCTTGTTGGTTCATCATTTTAGCAAATTTTTTTGTATTTGTTTCCCAAAAGTTCCAATCTAAAATCTAATAATATAATTAGGGAGGTCTGTACTTGGACAATTGATACATTAGCAAACTCTCAATCATTACTTTACATGGATCAGAGTAATTACTACAAACTAAGTTTTATTTATAATACTTTTATTTAGACATAACTTTTTAGTAAAACTTAATTTCATGACAAAAAGTATTTATGAAGCTAATTTTGTTGCAGTTCTACAAGATTCAGCTTCCACTGCAACTTTTTTTATGTTTCAATATTTCTGTATTTGTAAAATGATAATCCTTGTCACATTTATCACAGTGATAAGACTTTCTTAATGGATTCAGTTGTATATTCTTCTCTTCCTCTATTTCCTTCTTCACTTCTTCTTTTGTTGCTGAAGTAAAAAAAAAAATTATCACAAAACTAGTGTGTTATCAAATCACAATACCTCATGCATGATATTGTAAGAACAAATGAAAAAAGTTCAGAACTTAAAAATCCTTTTGGGATTTCTTGGATAATAGATAATGCCGTTTCAATGTTAACATTTGAATAATCAAACCACAAGATATTTTTTTAGGCATTGGCCACATCTATTTAAATGTGAATTAAGCAAATTGATTGAATTTAAAATTTTTCAGTAAAATATATCACCTATTTTGTAATTATACCCTCATGATCCTGTAAACCTAAGAACTCTCTAAGAAGTACTGTATTATAAAGTATGGACTATTATCTATCTTGTTTTTCCTTACTCAGATGAAATAACGTCTTAGAATTAGGATAGAAATAAATTAAACTTAAGAGTTGTTACAGAAATAAATGTAGCATAGGTGTCAACTTTCAAAACATCCAACAAAAATGTTTTAGGGGGAGATTTACTGTTGCACCATTTTTTGTGCTATTTCATTGGCTACTTTCTGTTACAGGGTATGTGTAATAACAACATAAATGTAAGTTACATATTTTATTTTGACATTTAACAATTAGTTAGATTTTTGGTTGATGTACATAACAGCAGCTGATTTAGCAGCTTTTAACAGACTTTCAGACAGTTCTAAATCCTAGCAAGGCACGTCTGTGTTTTATTTACAACATATTAATAAGCAAATTGTCATTGCAAAGTTCACTTCAAAATTCAGTTTGAATATTTTTCAACATTGAAAATATCACACAAGACATGCTTTAGCTAATTTTGACAAAATCATCATACAACCCTCTTGAAGTGACCAATATATTTATCTTGCATAAACTGCAGTGAAACAACTTGGCTGTATAAAATATAAAGCTTTTGTCGATTCTGGGCAAAATTTACATGAATATATTTTTAATTTTTTTGTGTCCCCTCTAGTCCAAAAAGCAGCTGGTGAATAAAAACTTATGACCAACTTACAATTGGGTTAACTAAGACTGGTTCTGAATAGCAGGAGATTTATCTCCTGGGCAGAAGACTGAGCAGCAGACTCTGGAAATTTCAGAAAAATATCTGTAGGCTCCTGATGAGATTAGGAGAGTTGACACCTATGATGTTGAGATGTTCAACCTGATACCCTCCTTTCCCCCTTAATATCTATAGAACAATGTTAAAGTCTAAGCTTTCTTTCTTACCATTAATATTTGCACTTTGGCATTCTGATTCATGTTGTAACCTTTCTAAGACTGTGATGATTAGAGAAGCTTTACATCTAGGACAGGTCCAATGTTTCTGCATACTAGATGTGTATTCTCCCCAAACAGCGGCTGAAGCTTCATCTATCAAGCTGTATAAAAACATATCAACTTATAGCAATGGTTCAGTACAAATATTTGTGAAATGTGTAGACCTTTTGAAATAAATTGTGTTACTTGATAACTATTCTTGCTTCAATAATTTAAGTTCACCCCGTAAAAATAATAAGCAGATCTTGGATAGCGTAAAATGGCATATTATCAATATCACCAAAACAGTAATCAACATTTTGAATAACAGTTTTAAATTGTAATTATATTGAAAATTAGTAATTTTTACCACTCAACAGATTACTGACCGGGTCAGAATTTAAAGGATGACTGTCATTGACCAAACCTCGGTTACCATGAATAGTTTATATAAAATTACCCATTATCTGTCAGTCTTTTTTTAAAGATGTCCTTTCTTTCACAGAAATGTTACACTTATATTTGTTATGTATCTGACAAGTATTTTGTACGTAAGAATATGTATGGCAATAAAACATACTGAGCAACTCACCAGTTATAACATAAGTAATCGTTAATTTGAATTCCACCTTTCACTGGATGGATATCATTCTTCATGTTTGACAAAAATAATCCACTTGGTAGATCTGAATTTTCATCAACTGAAACAAAAGTAAGATATCTTAAGGGAATATTGAAATAAAACCCACCTTTCATTTGAAAAAAGTAAAAACATGTGTATTCCTGCCCTTCAAGGGGGTCTCATTGAGGGGATATGATCCCGGATCCCGCTTATTGTTTTATCAGATTCCTGTATCCCGTTTATCGTTGTAATAATAACACTTATAATTTCACGTGTCCCGCCCTACTTCGTTTCCCGTTTTCGTGCTTAATAATTTGACTTTTAGGTGTCACGCTTACAAAAAATCAGCCAATCCCGCGTCACGCTTAAGACCCCAATGAGACCCACATTCAAGTGTCTGGCCACCACTGCTAATGATAAGGTACACTTCTGATATATGTTTAATCAATCAAAAGATTAAGATGGCCATTTTACTATATAATTTGATATTACTTCTTTCTGAACTGGTTTAGTTAGTTATGCCTTTTATAGTTATCCTCGTCTCATGGGTTTTTGTGCTAATAAGAATGCATTGTGACGTCACAATTTCCGTTGAAAAAACATGCATAGTACTAATTCATATGATATATAAAAACATATGATCTGACCATATGTGCTAATTAAAACATCTCAAATTCATTGGAGTGGGTATTACTTTTAGAAATTAAAATAAGATATTGCTTTCTTTAGTATGAAGAAATCATCTGACTGGGAACTGTATCAAGCTAATTAGCATCCTATTTCCTTGGAGTCGATTCTCACTGGACTACTTCAAGAAAACAATAGAGCCTTCATAAAGGTCAGCTTATTCCCTTGCCTGGTATTTATTTTATTTGTTTTATTCAAATCAATATGAAGATCACTGTGACTTAAATTCAGTGCGGATCTTCATCCTTAACAAGATGCATCAATTGACAAAAGATTATATACCTCTTTGAGTTGTAGGTATTTATATTTGGACTTAACCGAAGCCATTGAAGTGTAAAATAAAGGTCAGTCTTTATCTAAGTGTGGACTTTGCTCACATAACATGATAAATTATGTGACAAAAGATGTATATAACTTGTAGTTGCTTATATCTGGACCTCAACACAAATCGTGATCAGGTTGGAAGAAACACTTTTATCCCTCTTTAACTTAATTGGTTGAGGGGGACAATCAATAAGATATAATTAACTGTGTTTTACAATGATTAAATAACAAGATTTCAAAAAGGAGATAAAAAAACTCTTATATAGATGATAGAGAGCAAATATCATCTAAAGATATTATAGGCAGGATAATTTCATCATAAAAGTTTAAAATGTTAGTATATATGCTTCACTAGTCATTTTTGGGGCCCTTTATAGCTTGCTGTTTGGTGTGAGCCAAGGCTCCGCGTTGAAGGCTGTACTTTGACCTATAATGGTTTACTTTTACAAATTGTGACTTGGATGGAGAGTTGTCTCATTGGCACTCATACCACATCTTCTTATATCTACTTCTTGTAAAAACATGTAGAAACCAACCTCTTCCAGGTCCCTTGTAAACATATTTCATTTCAGCAGTCATAACTCTTCTGACAGCATACAACACATCACTACTCAGGAACTGACTCAATTTCTCTGCTAATATCTTCTCAAGTTTTCTAGCTCTAGGGTTTATCTTTTTTTCACTGTTAAAATTTTTAAATGTATCTGCAACAAAATATGAATGAATTTTCATTAAAGTAAATTTGAATGCATATTTGCTATTGAACTTGTCACACAAAATTCCAATATTATATAAAGTAGAAATATAAAGGAAAGATGATCCTATGAGCAAAAGCAATAAAGAGGCATTACACTACAAAATCACTTATATGCTAAATGACAAATCTCACAATGAAGTACATAGTCCCTGAGTAATCTGCCATGAAATTTTTTTTACAAAACAAATAGTAAATAAATATAAAGAGTAAATATGTTATTCAAGAATCATAGTAACAAAAAGCCATTAAAATGTATATCAACTAACAGTTCTAAAACATCATACTTATTTCTAAATTTCTAAATCTGCTACAAAAATGTCTATCTTGCATACACACAATCAACAAAAAAAATCTTTTTTTTTCAGATCAATAAAAGAGAAAGAGTTTCTTCTTATACAAAGTTATAGAGAAAGTGTATTGGAAACTTTATATTATCATAAAATATAAACATTACTCATCCTGCTATCCAAGTTTTTGCAATGTAGCTCTAAGCATTAAAACATTAAATACTCACCCTGCAATCTTAACTGAAGCAAGTTTTGCCATGTAGCTCTGAGCATTATAACACTAGACAGGATATCCTGGGCGATCTCAGCATCAGGGAATTTTATTTCTAACCATCCATCACAGATGAGTCTGGTACAATCAGAACTTGTATCCAGGAAGTTAGAGAATAGGGTAACAGTCTGTAGAGCAGGAACTCTCATTGTGTTCACTAAGTATGGTTTGTCTGTTTCCAGTAATTTTCTATAAAATATAACAATTACTGTGTTATCTTACTGATCAGAGTATAGACAATGTGTCAGATAAGTATCAGAAAAAATAAATTCTAGATATATTTTGAACAATAATTGGTGCCCATACGACAACATGACCCTCACTCTATCACTTTTCCATATTCAGTATACCACAAATCTAAATCAAAACCCTAATTTGGTTGTATTTTAAACAGTGTACATCATAATGAATTTGTGTACTAAATTTCAAGTTGCTGTGACTAAAACACCCACCCAACTATCACAGATGGGCATTAAAACTAATGTCCATTTATATTCTGGCCACTTTCAAGACAATCTTTCATAATAATCACTATTGGAACAAGTGGTGATTAACTGATAGTCCTGACAGAATACCAGGCACTTTGCAAACAAAATTTCATTTATCTTCCAACTTTCTGCTGCATATAACAAGACAGCTGTGTTGCTCTCATAACACTCAGTATCACAATAAATGTAGCTGAATTATCTGGTTATACATTGTTGATAAAGTTGTTCTATTTTGTCTCTTTGAAAACGTATTTATTTAAATCTCAGATAATTGGATTATTTGTTTTGCATCCAGAATATCAAAATTTGGAATCCTGATAACTCCATTGTTTATACAAGTAAGATTTAAAGTTTAATCAATTAAAATTGCTGAACTTGATATAACACATTTACATGTAAGTGGTTTTGATACCTACACATAAGTTAGTAACTGGTGTTTGTTACTTAGTTTCCCTCTTAAATCACTTGGTCCAACATTCTGCTTTTCTGGCTCTGGTGGCTGAAGTAACTCTGGCTGACTTGCAAACACAGAAGTTGGATGAAGAAGCAAAAATGGTTTGTTCTGTAAAATACATTGAGTTCAAAATAATTCAAAAGTAAGACTGTCAATACTAAATTATAACTACAGTGTGTCAACTTTACAGATAATTCATGCTAATTTCATATGAACCAATCCATAAAAAGTCTGAGATTTACATTTATAGATTTATGCATATTCATTGTACTGTAAAACTACAAAACTGCTTAATTAAGTCACCATTTTAATTTTTTTGAAATCCCTGTATCAAGTTAATCATCTTCTTAATTCAGTCTACAGTTGTTTGATAAGTCATTTCTTTCTTTTGTCCCCTTTCAGCATTAGGGATTATACCTGCATTTTAGATTGTGGTAGATTGTGGTTTCTTTTTTTCAATTTTTTCGAATTTACTATTTTTGATTTAACTATGTTATCATTTTATGTCATCCCTTACTGAATCCAAAGACAGGCTTTGTGAATGACATTTTCACATCAATGTGACTTTCAGTTTACACTACACTATAAGATATAACCAACCTTTGTATGGAAGGATTGTTCCGAGTCAGATTTATAGGAGTTTGTATCATCATTTATAGCTACTTGTGGATAAAGTCCACTACACAATATAATCTTCAACAAATTTATATCCTTTAAGGTGAAACTTCTACTTTGGTTTGAAATAGTCTGCAAAAGATAGATGTAATATATATATGTATATACGATAGGTTGATTTATTTCAGCACAATATGCCATATCATGGTGACCACTTTTTTCTGGAGGAGGAATCATAAATATATAATCCAGAGACCAACAAAATATTGAATCTTTTTGAGTGATGCCATCAGACATTCTTCCCTTTTTAACATGCTGTCATAATAACTACATCATAGAATGGTTAGGGAGTTAAAATAACTGAACTTTCTGTTTCAAAAAATTACAACAGATATACACATATATAATACAAATTGGTGCAAAATTAGATAAAAAAAAAAACATTTACTATAAATTTCAAAATTTTTTCAATGTTTATATAATTGCAAAAATTGCAAAAGGATAGGTTTTGCACAAATAAAAACGTAACTCATTGCGGGGGACATGGAAATACCGGGCGTATGTCCGTGTGTCCGTCCAGTCTTGTTAGCGACTCACAGCTACAATTCTTGCCAGATTTTTATAAAACTTACACTATAGGTTAATATCAGCAATATCTCAGACAAGTTCTATAGTCATGGCCGATCAACTTCTTTTAAAAGAGTTATGCCCTTGGAAATATTAAATTTATGGAAAATGGCCTTTTTAGCGCTCTCACAGAAAAAAAGAATAACTAATCAAAGAATTCAAATATCGTGAATGAACAACACTGATAATTAACTCATGCGCCTCACGCATTCGTGAATTAATGTGTTGTTCGGTCACTCGTTGAATATTTTTCTCTATTTGAATTCTTCGATTAGTTATTCTATAAATCTTGGACAAGTTCTATAATGGTGGATGATCAGTTTTTTTTAAAAAGAGTTATGCCCCTTGGAAATATTAAATTTATGGAAAATGGCCTCGTTAGCGCTCTCACAGGTACAATTCTTGCCAGATTTTTATAAAACTTATACTATAGGTTAATATCAGCAATATCTCGGACAAGTTCTGTAATGATGGCCGATCAACTTTTTTAAAAAGAGTTATGCCCTTGGAAATATAAAATATGTGCAACACGGGGGACATTGGAACTCTGTTCTTTTATTTATCTTGCATTTATTGTCTGTTGTTCAACAATCACAATATTAAATAAATGCCAGCAAAAATTTCAGAATTTACAGTAATATTTATAACACTAGAGTATAGTTACTTTACCTGTAATTTATTTAGGTCATGTGATAACCTGAATTCTAGATCTTTGATATCTGTTCCTTCATTGTCATCATCTTCTTCTTCTCCTTCACTCAATCTGTACTCCTGAAAATACAATGTGTCTCCTTTCAAACATTTTTTGAAAAAAAAAAAAGCTTTTCAAAGGTCATTTAACTGAAGCAAATAAGTTTCAAGTTTGTTTTTGACACAAAAATATAACGTTTCCCCTTTTTCCCCAGCTTAGATATAAAGGACAGTAACTAGAAAATCAATAGAAATACATAGTCACATATGTTATGACTCAAATCTTTCTGTAGGTTATTTCTAATTCAACTTCCTTAGTGATCTCTCTGTAGCTGCTAGCATAATCTTTTCAAAGCCATTAAATCTTATAAGTCATCCAAAATGCATGAATAAAATTAATTAGATCTCATTCATATATATGTGACAAATTTTGAACATACTGAATCTTCCAACTTCAGAACTTTTCTTTTCTTTGATTCATTTCGTTGTTCCTTCTTTAATTCTCCCAATCTCCTTCTGTCTCCATGCTGCCTTCTCCTTTCTTCACTTGTCAAATATCTTTCTCCTATTAAAGTTTTGTCCAACAAATGGTGATCCTGAAAAGACCAGAAAATCTTAATTAGAACTCATGAAAAACAACTGACTTGACAATACTAAGTAACTGTTGCGGTTTGTCTTCCCTTCTAGTTTTCTGATGAATTTTTATTAACAATCATGAGGGTCATGTATGATCAGTCTTTTTTATCTTTAATAAAAGTTATTTAAATGATCTTTATTTTTTCTGTACCAAAATATTTTTGGAAGTGCCAAATATCTGAAGGATGTTGAAATACCCATATCTATGGATAACAAATTTATCCCTGGTCTTATTTTGAATTGGGCGATTTTTTTAGGGAAATTCTGGCACAAAGTGTAATGTGAAAGCAACGTTTTTTTTAATTATTTCAAAAAGCTTAATCAAAATTTGGAAATTTGACATAATTTTTACAAGGTGTAGGGCACTACTTTTGGTAGAAACCTACAGATAGTCAAATATAAGACGTTTTTAGTCCAAAGACAAGAGAAACTAAAATAAATCAAATTTGGCACTCAATGTTGCAACACTGTGGCTTTAATTTGTTATAAATGTTTTACAATAAAAAAAAAACTGCTATAGTTAAATCTATATTATCATAAGCATTATCATTATTGTTTTTTTTATATGTCTATTTGTAATCATTATATGAGATGCATTGGATAGAAATCGACCTTATGTAAGTGCACATACTTAAATGTATACATGTACATGTAAAGACTTTGATTGATTTTGGAACATTTAAATACGAAACAAAAGATGAATTTTGGTCTGTTTTGTAGGGTTCTTATAACAACTCAATTTTCAAACTGTTACAGACTTTCTGTAGAGAATTTTTCAACTCGAAAAAGGTTAACAGATGTATTGATATTCATTTGCATAAGGTTGGTGCAGCTCATATGTAACATGCCCTTTATGGTTCGATAATTGGTTTAATAAATAAAATTGAGAATGGAGATGGGGAATGTGTCAAAGAGACAACAACCCGACCAAAGAGCAGAAAACAGCCACCAAGGCCACCAATGGGTCTTCAACACAGTGAGAAAATCCCACACAGAGAGGCGGGCCTCAGCAGGCCCCTAAACAAAAATGTGTACTAGTTTAGTGAAAATGGACGTCATACTAAACTCCAAAACATATAATTGAACTAAAATTAAAAATCATACAAGACTAACAAAGGCCAGAGGCTCCTGACTTGGGACAGGCACAAAAATGGGATGGGGTTAAACATGTTTTGTGAGATCTCAACCTTCCCCCTATACCTCTAGCCAATGTAGAAAAAACAAACACACAGCAATTCACACAGTAAAACTCAGTTTAAAAGAAGTCTGAGTCTGATGTCAGAATAGGTAACCAAAGAAACTAAGCAAAATGACAATGATACATAAATTAACAAAGGACTACTAGCAGTTACTGACATGCCAGCTCCAGACCTCAATTAAACGGGTTGAAAGATTATGTCTTCATCATATGAAAATCAAGCACAATCCCTCCTGTTAGGGGTTTAGTATCATACCATCATAAAATATATGAGATGAACATAACCCGTATCATGCCAACAACTGGTTTTAGAATAAATGTGTTTATTTCCGATGCAAAGACCCTATGAGTGAATCAATATTAACACCAAAATATGCCATCTTTAATGACCTGACAACAGTATCGTAACTATATCAATTCTGAATAAGTCTGTTTAAAGGTTTGGTTAGCTTTTGAGGTGAATGCTGACATTTTTGTGCTTTGTAAAGAATATTTCCATAAAAGATTGGATGTGAAATACCTGAACATACAAGACGTCTACATGTCGAAGGCTCGACAAAAATGGATAATTAACAATAGGAAATGAAAAATCCTCTCTTTTATCATAAATTTTGGTATTAAGCTTCCTGTATTCATATTCGTATTCGTATTTGTAGACGGTGTGACGTCAACTTGGGTCATTTGTATAACTAGGTCAGTACTCAGTAGTCCCTTTCATTGATGACGTGGTAGTCAAGTGATGCATTTACTAAAATGAATGCCATAATAGCATAATAGGATAAAATTGTTAGTGGATTACATATTTAATTCAGACAACATGGATAATCTACAGAATTAAGTTTTTCACTGGGAACCACCACAGAACTTAGGAAAGGGCACGTGAAGTTCCCTGGGGTAATGGGTGGCAACGCCCAGGTATATGGGTTAGCAACACCCTGGGCTACCGGTTTTTTAAAAAAGGCCATTAGCCAATCAAAATCCGAGAAATATACTAAGCCGGGATAAACAGATAGTATTGGTTTCCTAGTATTTGAGTTTTTGTTGTCTTTTGTACCATTATCATATGAGTTTTGATTTTTCTCAACTGAATTTTGTAGTATACTCTAATATGTATCTTTTGATATTTCATTGATTGAGATTAATTCAATGACAGTTGCGACTCAATTCATAAAATATCAATTGGAATTAACTTTTTAAAAATATATTTGTGGTGAGGATTTAAAAAAAAGGTCTGCAAAGAAGTGGTTCCTTTTGCAATCATATTGTTGGTATAAAAAAGCAACCTAGAGAAGCAGATGATCTACATGCAGAACATTTAACCAGAAGGCTGTTTGACAGTACTTACTTTCAGCAATTCCTTAAACTGATTACGAAGTCTTATTATTTCATAAAATCTTTGTTCCTCAAGTCCTCTCCTCTTACACCATTTCTTTGTACCTCTTCCTTCAGCTTTTACCTGAATTATATAGCAATCTTAATATCATATATCAATCATAATGTTATATAGAGGTAGAAAAAGACAATTCAGAAACACATTGTAGCTCAGTAATAACCTTTTGTATATTTAACTGAGGTTACAAGTTTCTAAAAGGGTGTTTGTATTCAGAACCATTTTAGTTCTGCAGCTCCTTACATATTTAACCATTTTTGGCTGCTCCAACTGTTGTCTCAAGCTTTTCTGCTGAAAGTAAATTCAAAAATGTGCTTCAAATTCAGCAAACCTGATTCTTTTTACTTTTCACTTGTACCTCCTTGTGATTAACTACTGACTAATCATGGTAAAAGCTTTTGTGATATTTCATAGAATGATTTTGAACAACTTGCTGCAAATCTTATGATAAATTAAATTAGGTGAAACATTATTGACTGGCACAAATAGTAGAACCAAAACTCCTCACCATACAAGAACACCAGAATTCACCTCTGGTTTTTCATTTCACTTCATTTTAAACATTTAATTGATACACTCTAATAAATCAAAAGGATTTGATCAACCTCTGTTTTTTTATGTGGTACCTGTATGTCAACTTGAAGTTATCCCTGTGGCATTTTGTGAACTGGTGTTTGATCCTCTCTTTCTTTTACCAGTAATTAAAAAATGTGAACCCTGCCAGTCACACATGTACACCTCACAATTGTTCCATACACTAAATATAATTGACCTAATGCTTATAAATTTGAGGAATACACCAAACTACAAAAACTAAAAATTGTCCGATGAACCATGAAAATTAGGTTGAGGTCAGATGAAACCTGCCAGACAGACATGTACATCTAACAATCATTCCATACATCATTTATAGTGGCCCTATTGCTTATGGTATCTGAGAAATAGATCAAACCACAAAAACTAAACATTGTCCAATGAACCATGAAATTGAGGTCAAGGTCAGATTAATCCTGTCAGTCGGACATGTACACCTTAAAATCATTCCATACACCAAATAGTTTGAGTTTGACCTACTGCTTATAATATCTGAGATATGGACTTGACCATGTAACTTTAACCTTGATCACTGATCTATGGAATAAGGTCTAGGTTATGTGAATCCTACCTGATGGACATGAGACGTTGCAAGGAACCTATATACCAAATATTGTTTTCCTATTACTCTTAATAAATAAAGACAACAGTAGTATACCGGTGTTCAAAAGTCATAAATCGATTGAGAGAAAACAAATCCTGGTTACAAACCAAAACCGAGGAAAACACATCAACTATAAGAGGAAAACAAAGGAACAACAGGAACACCGAAGTGCAACAAAAACAAACACCAACACACATAGAAACGAACTATTTGATAACAACTGCCATATTCCTGACTTGGTACAGGACATTTTAAGAAAAAATGATGAGTATTTCACTTAACAAAATAAACTGTTAACACAGAGATATGTCTCGCCTATTTGTTATTTTGATAATGCAAATGTTGAAATTAAAATAGCAATACTTTAACATGTAAGTTATGCAAATATTCAAAGTCAATGAACCATGACTGAAGGTACAGGGCTAAACAATCTCCATTGAAATGAGATGTGCCAATGCTAATAAAACTGCAAACCAAATACCATTGACTATTCATAAGTCGTTCCCTTTAAACAAACCTAAACACAAACATTAACTTGTAAACTATGTAAAAGTTTCAAAGTTAATGAACCATAATAAGGGGGTGTGGTTATATAATCTCCATGGAAATGAAACTTGCAAATGCCAATACATTTGTATACTGAATATCATTGACTTAACATTAGTGGTTCATCTTAAACTTAACTAATCACAAACTAATACATGTAAACTAAGCAAAAGTTTCAAAGTCAATAGACCATGACTGAGGGGTAGGGACCAACATTCTCCATGGAAATGAGATGTGCTAATGCTTATAATACAACTGCATACCAATTATCATTGACCTACCACTAACGGTTCCCCTTAAACTGAACTTATCACAAATTAATACATGTAAACTAAGCAAAGTTTCAAAGTCAATTGACCTTGAATGAGGGGGCGGGGCCAAATAATCTCCATGTTAATGAGATGTGCCAATGCTAATACAACTGCATACCAAATATCATTGACCTACCACTAGTGATTCACCATGAACTAGACCTAATCACAAACTAATACATTGTTGACGCTGCCGCCGGAAACAGCATACCTATGTCTCGCTTTTTGACTCCGTCAAGGCAAGACAAAAACTGTAAAAAAATTTTCAAGCTGTCACTGAATCATGAAAATGAGGTCAAGGACATATGACAGACAGAAACTTCATAGCATAAGGTATCGCACACAAGGTATGAAGCATCCAGGTCTTTTAACTTCTGAAATATAAAGCTTTACACAAAAAGTTTACATTGTTGCCCGATTGTAATACCTATGTCTAACATACTGCGACAGACGAGGCAAAAACCCCATTAGTTTATTCATACTTTTTTCTCACCAAAAAAGGTCTGTTGTATTAAAAAAATGATATTTTAAAATATAAACAGACACTTGTCAGATCATTTTGCCAAGATGTGAAGTAATTCTAAACTTAACAGATGGCATAAAATCATGTTTTCTTTTAATGACAGTATTTTGTCTTCTTTATTTATTTTATTGTGTTGTTGAGTTACTGTCTCATTAGCATATTCCACGTCGCCTTATATTTTCACACACCTGTATCCATTCATCAAAAGTTTCTAGTAAGGTGAATGGGTCGCCATGGTCTGATTCTAGTGGTTTTCTTGCTTCCTAAAATATAAAACACTTATAAACAAGGATTGGAGTAGTCAATATTCATCTAGATTCTGTATAAAATGCTAACTTGCTTTAATACAGATATTCTAAGGGCTATTCATGGAAAAAATTTAGGGAAGGGGTGGGACAACACTTTTTACATACACCACCACGTATAATTTTTATTTTCATTTGCTTCCACCCCTATAATACCCACAGAAATAAATATCATGTGGTGTCTTAACACTCCCATACATTTTTTCCTGCAATAGCCCTAGCCTAAGGAGGACTTTGGTAAACCTTATTTGGTTCAGATCAAAAGTTTAGATTTATCCAGATCTAGAAGACTCAGTGTAAAAGTATACTCTTCAAGGACAGCAACAAAGATACAGGTAAAGGTCATTTCACTTTTTCTTAACTTACAAACATTCCTCCCATTTGGTGCAAGTTTTTCAAATCAATTATTTTATAAACAAAAAAATTTGAATATTTTTCCAATATTAGAACATTTACCATATTAATCTACTTTCTCATTCATCTATTATAAGCTTGTGAAAATCGAAACATATGCTTCCCTAGCTGGAAAACCTTTGACTGCAATCATATCTTTTTTATCTTTTTCAGTACAAAACATGTATAACCATAACCTCATATGAAATAAATAACAAAATATTACCATAGCATCTCTATCAACGTAAGCTCTATTCGTAAATGGAGACTGAACACTCATAGCTGCTGCTATTGATAGTACTGCATCTATCATCTGAAAAATAAGATGAATTTATCCAAAATCAATAAAAAGCAAGATGTGGTGTGACTGCTTGTGAGACAACGTTCCACCAGATTCCAAATGGCGTGGATTTAAGCAATTATCAGTCACTGTATGGCCTTAAACAATGAGCAAAACCAATACCATATAGTCAGCTATAAAAGACCCTGACATGACAAAATTTGAGACAATTCAAACGTAAAAAGCGACAGCTTGATCTAAGCTTGATCTAAGCCTAAAACAATGATGGAAAAACAAATATGACAGACAGCAACCAACCACAACCACTGATTTACAGGCACATATAGAATTTGGGAGTGGTTAAACTTGTTTGTGAGTATTTAACCCTCACCTAACCTATTTCTGTATTGTAACAGAACAGCATAAGAAAAAACTGTAAAATTTCAATAGGAACTGGCTTGACTCTTCAGATTGGCACGAAGCACAAAAAACAATTAACACGAAGCCAAAAGACACAAAGTATTGATCTAAAAGTACTTCTAGTGACAGAAAGTTAATTCAAAGCCAATAATAACTTATAAATAAAATATATTCTCCCAGATTAAAGGTATGGTTTTCTTTGAAAAATAAGAGGTTGCCATAACACATTTTTCTGTTTTTCATAAAATACTATATTGAATCCCAAACATATTTCAATAAAATGCTCCGCAGGGCGCAGCTTGATACGACCGCAGAGGTCGAACCCTGAACAGTTGGGGCAAGTATGGACACAACATTCAAGCTTGATACAGCTCTGAATTTGGATTGTGATTAAATATTTGACACAGCATAGGTTTCTGACACAGAATGAATGTGGTCTAAGAACTTAAACATTTTAAATTGGACATTCACCTATTATGGTCCAATATCCAAAATCTAAATACATGGTTAGATTCAGCATATCAAAGAACCCAAAGAATTCAATTTTTGATGAAATCAAACAAAGTTTAATTTTGGACCCTTTTGACCTCAATGTGGACAAAGTTGATAACGGGGCCCAAAAATCAAAAATCTAAATACATGGTTAAATTCAGCATATCAAAGAACCCCATATATTCAATTTTTGTTGAAATCAAACAAAGTTTAATTTTGGACCCCGATTTGGACCAACTTGAAAACTGGGCCCATAATCAAAAATCTAAATACATGTTTAGATTCAGCATATCAAAGAACCCTAAAAATTCAATTTTTGTTAAAATCAAACTAAGTTTAATTTTGGACCCTTTGGACCTTAATGTAGACCAATTTGAAAACGGAACCAAAAATTAAGAATCTAAATACACGGTTAGATTCGGCATATCAAAGAACCCCAATAATTCAATTTTTGATGAAATCAAACAAAGTTAAATTTTGGACCCTTTGGACCTCAATGTGGACCAATTTAAAAAAACAGGGCCCAAAATCCAAAAACTTAATACACGGTTAGATTCAGCATATTAAAAAACCCCAAGAATTCAAGAATAAAACCCCATTGAAATTGATCAAGAAATAAGCAACTTATATGAAGTATCTTCTTTTGCACAATACTGTGCAATTGAATATTTCTTGCTATTGCGCAATACTGTACAATTGACAATTTCTTGCTATTGCGCAATATTGTGCTATTGGATATTTCTTGCTATTGTGCAATACTGTGCAATTGAAGATTTCTTGCTATTGCGCAATACTGTGCAATTGAAGATTTCTTGCTATTGTGCAATACTGTGCAATTGAAAATTTCTTGCTATTGCACAATACTTATTATATAATAATTTACACATCCTGTTTGGTGTGTATCTCCTACCATATCATTATTATTTGCTTTTAAATATTAATCAGAAATAACCAACTTAAAATGGAAATTTTTAAAAGAAAAAAAAAAGGAAAAAAAGAAAAAAAAAGTAAAAAAAAATCCCCCCCCCAAATTTTTTGAACCCCCTTATGATTCATCACCCCCAAACTCAATCCCAGCCTTCCCTTTGTGGTATGGTACCTTGCAGTACAATTTCAGAGAGATCCATACACTTGAACACAAGTTATTGTCTGGAAACTAGAAAAATGCTTATTTTTGGCCCCTTTTTGGCCCCCAATTCCTAACGTTTCGGGCAATTACCCCCAAACTCAATTCCAGCTTTCCCTTTGTGATATGGAACCTTGTAGTACAATTTCAGAAATATCCAAACACTTACACACAAGTTATTGTCATGAAACTAGAAAAATGCTTGTTTTTTGCCCCTTTTTTGGTCCCTAATTCCTAAAATTTTGAGGCAATTACCCCCAAAATCAATTACAGCCTTTCCTTTGTGATATTGAACCTTGTGGTACAATGTCAGAGAGATCCATACACTTACACACAAGTTATTGTCTGGAAGTTACAAAAATGCTTATTTTTGGCCCCTTTTTGGCCCCTAATTCCTTAACTGTTGGTACCATAACCCCCAAAATCAATCCCAACCTTCCTTTCGTGGTATTGAACCTTATGGTAAAATTTCATGGAGATCCATTCACTTAAACTAAAGTTAGAGTGCGAAAACCAATGTGTCTTCTGACGACGCCGGACGACGCCAGAAGACGACGACGCCAACGTCATACCAATATACGACCAAAAACGGTCGTATAAAAATGTTTTTACATTGTGTGAACTGTTTCTGGATATACTTAAGCCATTATCATTTTTTTCTATCTATCCATTGAGACGACTATCCACCAGAGTTCAAATGAAGTCAATGTAAGTCTTTATAGGTCACTGTAAATTGATTACTAAAAGCTTAAAAACTAAAGTAAACAATACCTACTTACCTCACTTCCTATTCTACATAAGTGATCTCAATGAATATGTACAGTTATGGGGAAAAAATGTACCGCATGCTATGATTTCTTATCTATTCATATATTAAAAAATAAATTTGGAATTACATCACTTCTCAACTAATTTTAATGAAATTTCTTTTTTCATCTCATTTAGGGTAAAACTCTTCATAACTTTTTGGAGTATTAATTTATATTTTACTTATATCACCACTGGTAAATAATCACCAAACAAATTCAGTGTCCTGTAAAACTTACATGAAATATAGAACCCATGATTAACATTTTACCAATAACAACATCCACTGGTAGCCTTGATAACATATTACCAATGGGTGTTAATGTCTCATCATCTTTCATAGCTCCCTGAAAAATATACACAATGAACTGTATTATACCGATTATTTGTTGGCTTTCTGTCTTTCTGTCCTAAGATAGAAATCTAGTCTGTCTACTTCCAGTTTAATGTTTGTATCATAGTTTTGGTTCTATCTATTGAATTTATAAACAACTTGCTTACAATAAATATGAAGAGTGTTAGCACACGTCTTTAGATGACAAAATGTGATCTTAAGATGTATATTTTAGTTTATATCTGTTCTTGGGTTGCTGACTAACTTTAACCCCACATCTCCATTTATTTATACATATTTGTATTTGAATGAATTTCACATTTAATGACAAAACTTGTATCATTGTCATAAATGAAGTTTGTTGGAGAATTTGGTGTTGCTGACAGAACTTTGGTAGCACTTTAGATGTCTTTTCTATTTATACAATGTTTAAGGATCGCTGGGTCATTGACATACACCCTACTGCATCTCTTTTTATTTATAATTCTTTTGAATAAAATCTTAATGTGAAAAGAAAACAGTATTATATAATATCTTTAGCAATTCTATGTCTATCAATCATCAAAATTATTATGCAATAAATCAAATAAGTTGGAAAAATTAATAACACTTACTTGTTCTTTAAGAAATATAATTGCATTTTCAATACTAGTTATGTCTGGTGCCTCTAGAAATGGAAATCTGAAAAACATAAGATTAGAAATTGTAAGTTTACCTTGAAATATGAAAAGATTAGCCATAATCATGAAATAGTCCATTGGTTAGACTTTCTGCTTTTAGCACATATAATAAATATTACGACACTCAGGAATCTTGTTAGTGGTTGCATTTTGTTATACATGTATCTTTAATATATGTTTTGTCATTTATGAAATTAAGTATTGATGGCAGATCTTCTATAGTTGATTGCCAGTTTTCCTGCCGAAAGTCAGTGGTTCTATCTGGGCACTCCGGCTGCTTCAACCAATATAAACTGGTTGCCATGATATAGCCAAATGTGCTGAAAAAATCGCTGAACACCAACAATTACAGTATATACAGAAATTATTTTGTGCATTTATCGTTGCCATTTTTGAAACTGAACTAAAATGTGAGATTATTTTTTGCAATTTCAGGAAAAGCTTCATACAGATATATGTATCAGATATCAGAATGCAAGTTTTTTTATTGTGATAATCACTGTCGCATTATTCGCATTAATAAAAACCTTCTGAATTTACAGTAATCAATCAATTGATCTTCAATATCTCTGTTAAATAAATTCACTCAAAACTTACAAGGTAATTCAGAGCTTAACAGATTATATAAAGAGACTCGTATATAGTGGAAGACCATATGTTTACTTTCAGTTGTCTTATGGTTTGATGTGTTATTAGGATGTTGTCTTCTTATCTATACCCATTATATCATTTTATTTTGATTAAAATTTCACAACATTTAAATATTTCTGATGTCCTTTTGACAATGTCCTATGTAACCCAATTGTAGTAATGACATATATATTAACACAAAAATCTATAAGTAAACTATTTTTTCATAGACACATACTTCCTAGCATCAGGAAGACCCATGGAGACCATCTGTAGGATTAAAGAGTCCAGAGTGACCCGCTGTATTTCTGGTGTAGCATATTCTTGAAAGGCATCATAATCAGGACTATCATACAGTCTATAACATACTCCTGGTCCTGTTCTACCTACAAATCAAATATCATATCCAAATTAATAATGATTCCTAACATAACACTTAGTCCTGCTTAACCTAGATAATTATTTAGTAACTATGTTCATTCTCAGGGGACTCGCCCTTTCATTTGATTTGTTTTTTTGTCCCAAACAAGAATATATATGGTTTAGGGGTGGGGATCTCGACCGTTTACAAGTTCTCAAACAGGAAGGGGATGGGAGTGACCCCAGGGGACTTGCCTTTTATTTCATTTGATTTGTTTTATTGTCCCATACAAGAATATATATGGTTTAGGGGTGGGGATCTCGACCGTTTACAAGTTCTCAAACAGGAAGGGGATGGGAGTGACCCCAGGAGACTCGCCTTTTATTACATTTGATTTGTTTTATTGTCCCATACAAGAATATATATGGTTTAGGGGTGGGGATCTCAACCATTAACAAGTTCTCAAACAGGAGGGGGTGGGGAGTCCTCCAGGGACTTCCCCTATATTTCATTTGATTTGTTTTATTGTCCCACACAAGAAATATATATGGTTTCCGGATGGGGATCTCAACCGTTTACAAGTTCTCAAACAGGATGGGGTGGGGGTAACCCAAAAGGACTCCCGCTATATTTCATTTAATTTGTATTATTGTCGCATACATGAATATATATGGTTTAGGGGTGGGGGTCTCGACTGTTTACAAGTTCTCAAACAGAAGTGGATGGGGTGACCCCAGGGACTCAACCTATATTTTATTTGATTTGTTTTATTGTCCTGTGATCATTACTGAAGACCGTGTGTGTCTATCACTTACTGTTTTCAAGTTATAGTCATTTGAAAATTTAAAAAAAATATATCCCATAGGGTTCTATAGTAAAACCCTCCCTTCTGTAGGCCCCTCAAAACCCCTAAATAGACCCCAAGAAGAAAAATAATAAGAACTGAGCAAAAACTAAAAGTCTCCAAACTTTGTTTTGGAGACTTAATAACAAAAAGTATATATACGAATTTTGTTATAGTCCGATTTTGTTATAGTCCGATTGTGATGAGATGAGATACCAGGATGTTTTCGATACACTCAGGCTTTTACGTCTTTAATAAACATTTGTAAAAATCGTAGTAAAAATAGCGTCGAAAAATGTGCATTCATGAAATATTTTAAACACGGTATTTATTTTCTCTTCAACCGGAGGACGGGAGGAAACCCCTGAAACTGGGATTATTGTACTCTTGTCGGGAGGCACACATATACATGGATCTCACGCATGTCTGAGGAATACTGATAAAAGCATAACGTAGAAACTGCTGTCTCGTGTAGATGTGTATTGATTTTATATTCCGTGCAGCGCAGATCCGCGAAGTAGTGTTTGTGATAGCCATTTTCAAAATGAAGTTGAATTCATTTGAATTATCGATGAACATTCAGTACATTTTAATTCAATCTGTAAGCTAATCAAAATAGAAGTAACTCAAAATTTCAAAAGCATCTTCCTAGAATTAGTATTCAAAACTAGTACTACATTATCTAATAGAACACACATCCTATAGTAAGATAGCCTGTCCAACTTCCGGTTTGAGGCTGATGCCTTAGGAAAGTATATTGCTATAACAAACTTTCCAAAAACACTGAGACATGGCAACATAATCTATGACAATGAAAGTTGAAAATCTGAATTGGTCAAGTAATTTCAAACTTAAAATAAAGCTTAAAGTAAGACCATAATATAAAATACGTAATTTCATAGAATTTTAATTTTGCTAGTTTAAAGTTATTCCTTATGTTAAAACAAAACAAAAATTACAAAAAAATATTTATTGAGTGTGTATTAAGTTGCTTAAATTAACTTTATTTGAACTGTGTTGGATAGTTCTCTCATTGGCAATAATACCACATCTTCTTATTTTCATACTAAAATGGTAAATTGTAATGCTCCAAGTAATGTTTGAAATTTGCTCAGCAGAACACCAACTGATACTGAAAACTTTCTGTGTATATTGGAAGACGTGGAAAAAGGAAGAAACATTTACATACCAGCTCTTCCTTTTCTTTGTTCAGCACTTGCTCTACTGATCCAAAATTCTTGTAATCTTTGCATTTTATACTTTGGATCAAAACTCATCTCTTTGACCTAAATCAATATTTAAAATGATTTAAAAAAATAATAATAATTAATGCTGTTATATCAAACTTGTTCATGATTTAAGATACTTTACATTTTAATACTATTTCAGAAACAGTTTTGACTAAAACTTGAAAAATCAACTGCATACCTGATAAAATTAATATTTCTGAATTATTATGAAAAGATATATATATAAATTAAATCTAACACATTCATTTTGTTACTTCATAATGACCTTGGTTGCCTATAATTGCTTACATCCACTTCATTTGAACTTGGGTGGATAGTTGTCTCATTGGCAATCATACCACATCTCCTTATTTTTATATTGATCTTGACTTTTTAAACCATTATAAATTCATACAAATGTCATTTAAAACCAGCATTCTCAAAACATATAATGAATCAAATTTGTTGGTTTTTAGAGTTCTTTTTTATGGTAAATCCAGAAAATCATTTTAGACACAGCAAAACAATAAAGTGTTATTTTCATTTTTTTTACCATCATAATTTGACTTAAAAAGCTTTCAGGCATGTACAATGCATTTTTTTTTTTATCAAATTCAAGTAGAAATAAAGCACCTTTGAAGTGAATACAAAATCAAATTAAAATTATTTTAATAGAAAGTCACTTGATATCTAATAAACTCTTAAAATGCAACAAAAACCACATAAATATTAAGCACAAGCACTGCATCCCATCTTTTCTTGTTTTATAAAATCCTTCAGAAATTGACCTTTACTTTAATATTGTTTAAATACATTTTTTTTAATACTAACTTAAGTGTTATGCCAAAAGTATTTGTCAACTTAAATTTTTTTGCTATGTATATATACCGGGTAATACTATTGTAAATTTAGAAATTATCGCAAACATTTATTATTGCGATTTTGGCATGACCAACCTGAATTCAGGATTAAAAATTGTGATTTCTTGAAAAGTTGCATACAAATATATAAGCATCAATAAAAACCTTGCAACAATTTCTGAATTCATAGTATGTTTTTTTTTCTAAGAATTATCGTGAGGTCATTTCTGATTTAATTTTAATCAACATAAAATAAAAAGAAGTAGAATTGTCACAGGTTTATTTATTCATTTAGTTGTATTTTTTTCTGAAGCAGTCTCATTTTGTTGGTTATTTAAACACAAGTATAATTTTTTACCAGATATTTGCAGTATTTATCAACCAAATAAATTGTACAAAAATATTATACATGTTTGCTTCACAACAACTAAGGACAAAACTATGATGAAACAAAGAAACATACTTCAGAGAATTTTGAATCTTGCAATACATAATTTGCTTCAAAAAAACAATAAATGCCTGCAAAATATTTTTTCTAATAATTTTGTACTTATAGGAAATATAAAAGCAAAAAATTAAAGGAGATGAATACTTGTGGTATAACGCTGTATATATATATATGAATAAAAGTTGCCATACTTTTCCTGAATCCACTATAAATCTAACTCCATCTATTGTTACAGAAGTCTCTGCTATGTTTGTAGATACAATGCATTTTCTCACTCCTTCTGGGGAAATATCAAACACCTGGGAACATAAAACAGAAACCATTGTAAAAAGAAAGTTTTGGAGAAACTATCATTGTATGACCTTTATTTTGTAAAGGTCGTCAGCTCTAATGATTGCCTATTTTCCAATCATGTTTCAGTGATTAAACTAGAGGCTTTCAACAATGGACACTCTCCAACATTGTGGACTAGAATAGAATTCATGACAAAAACCTCTTTTTTGTTGATCTTGTATTGCTGATCATTTTTTCTGTTTACTTACTATGAGTTTCTCTCTATCTTCTTAAGTTTTTTCCCAAAACACAAAACAGTATAAACAAATTGTCATTCATGAGCAATATCCCCTATAAAGAGTAAATTTAGCCCTGTGTTCTTTTTTTAGCCCAGTTAGCTATGTTGGTTGCACTTGGCAGGCAGGGTTGTTCGACAAAGATTTTAAATCCTTGTGACCAAATTTGATTCCAATTGGCCCAGTTATTTCGGGGGAGAAGATTTTTGTAAAAGTTGTACATATGGATGTTTAACAAAGTATTTGGTGTACACAGGGTTCACTTTAATCAGGTATTTGGTGTACACAGGGTTCAGTTTAGTCAAGTATTTGGTGTTCACATGGTTCAATTGTGTCAGGTTTCACTGTATCATCAAAGATTCCAAAAAATAAAGTATCAAATCAATGAGACAGTCCTGAAGCAAATCTTTGATGGCACCAAAAATTAACATGAGTTAGTGAGTACATAAAGCTTGTAGCTCTAGCTCTTTGAAAATGTTTGAAATGTCATGAGGTTACATCTATCATTTTTCAGTGCTTTAGTGTTATTAACAAAACCACAATACTAGAGGCTCCTACATTCAGGTAAAGTTTGATCACATTTGGCACTGTAGTTTCAAAGGAGAATTTTGTTTTAAGCTAAGGATATCAGACTGGAAAACGAAGGAAGACAATGACAGACACCAAGTGATGACAATAGATCACATGGTCCTTTGGGTCAAATGACCTAAAAAAAAACCACACAATTTTATGGTCTGCTTCCTAGAACATGTTTACCAAGTTATGTATCAATTATTTATAAAATAAATCTATCAATCACCTTATCCTGTTCATCAGCAGACAGTGCACTGTGTAGAGGCAGTATGATCCATCTCTTGGTATTTGTTGCATATGTTTTGGCTGCCTCTACTACCGACATAATTTCTGACATACCACTCAGAAATATAAGTAAGTCACCTCTTTCTGATTCTGGGTACTAAAAAACATAAGAAAAATAGGTTAGCACATATCCTCTCTGAATTTAAAAGAAAGAGATAACGAAAACTAAATGATGTTCTGCATAAAATACAAATAGATATTTAAAATATTTGCACTTTATATGAAACAAGTAAGATATGCCATGGAAAAGAAGTTTTAAATAAAAAGATGATCACAAAACATGATCCTGTGAGTTTCTGCTAGGTCATCTTGATTTTGTTTTAATTACTAACAACAGAAATACTGTTAGGCCAAAAAAAAAATATGTCTGTTAAAGGTTACATTATTAAAAAAATAGGGTAGGTAGGTCGGTATTTCCATTTAATTTTTTTGGGACATGATTTTGAGTTGTGCGGTCCATCTTGCCGTGGTCCGAGTTCTTAATGGGCCAAGTTTACCTGTATTTTTAATAACTGGATTATTTCCCTTGGTTACTGGTTGGAAAAATATGGCGGCAAAGTGTTTATTTCATCACACAAGTCGCGAATTTCTTAAAACAGCTGTCATATTCACGATTGTGAACATTAAGATGTATCAGGAAATTGATTTATTTTATTGGCAACTCTAACTTTGCTTTTGACATGAGTTCAGTTAATTTTTCACTTTACAACGGGAATAAAATGACTTAAGGTCGGAGCTCAAAAGTAGGATCGGTCGAGTAACCGTAAACAGACAAATATTTTTTTTTGGCCCTTATTTTAGTGGATTCCAATTTTCATGGATTGAGGAAAAACTGTTTTCATGAATACCTGATTCCTAGTTTTAATAAAATTGCATTCAAACTTATAGAAAATTTGTGTTTTGTTGAACATTTAAATTCATGGTTCATACCCTCGAAATAAAAACAAAAATAGTACCCAGGAATAGTAGTGAATTCACAGTGCCATTAAACATTGAATACCTTATGATCAATTAGCTGCATAATCTTTAGATAAGGAGAAGGATCTAATCTTTCTGCTTTGGAATCGTCTCTCTGTATTGGTTTGTATTCTAGTTCTATCGGATATAATCTGCCAGGAACCTGAAATAAAACATACCTTTTCTTATTTATATAATGAAGGAGAGGAGATTTAACCATTTTACAAAAATAATTAAATAAGAAAAAACAATATCCTGTATACTCTGCATAAGTTATTAAATGTAAAATGTATTGTGAAAAGAATTTGGAATATTGCGAATGGATCAATTTCATTACAAACATTACCCCTGCAAATAAGAAGGCCAAATATACCTTAACTACAGGTGCATCATCAAAGTATCCACTAAATAAGTCAATGTTAATGGTAGCAGACATAAGAACTAGTTTGAGATCATCCCTATGTTTCAGCAGACACTTTATAACACCTAACAGAAAGTCAGTATGTATGTGTCTCTCATGGACTTCATCTATTACTACCACACTGTACTGCTTCAGATGTTGATCCTCCGACATCTGTCTTAAAAGCAGACCTGAAATACAAATGAAATTCAAGAATGTTTCTTTAAAGGAATAAATCTGTTTTCTTTTCTAAATTAACTTTCTGTGACCTTTAACATCTAGAATTTTGTGAATCCATTTATTGGTTAATGTCACTCTTATAAATAATAAAAAATGGGGAATGTGTACATGGGACACAGATGATGCCCCTGCTTGCATATCATATAAAGATATAAAGGGACATAACTGAAGAACAGTAAAAGTGACACTACCCAAATTTGAACTTGATCTGATTTTGTGGTAATAAGTATTGTGTATAAGTTTCATAACATTTGGATGAGGCAAACTAAAGTTTTAGAACGGAACCGAAAAATTCAGCAATTTTTCCATTTACAAAAGGGCATAACTCTAGAACGGTTAAAGTGACGCCACCAAAATTCAAACTTGATCTGTGTTTTGTGGTAATAAGCATTGTGTATAAGTTTCATAACATTTGGTTGAGGCAAACTAAAGTAAGAGAATGGAAAAGAAAAATTCAGCAATTTTTCCATTTGTAAAGGGGCATAACTCTAGAACGGTTAAAGTGACGCCACCAAAATTCAAACTTGATCTGTGTTTTGTGTTAATAAGCATTGTGTATAAGTGACATAACATTTGGTTGAGGCAAACTAAAGTTAGAGAACGGAAACCAACTTTGGGACGTACGTACGGACGGACAAGGGTAAAACTTAATGCTCCCTCCACTACGGCAGGGGCATAAAATCAGTTACCTATAAAAGACAGCAAACCTGTTTTCTGTTAATTTGTTATTGACCCTGATATATCATTTTTTGTCAAAACAAAGCAATCTAAATTCAATGTTTAAGGTTCTAGTTTGATACTAAACTGTAGTTCTGTGAAATGTCTGAACCGCTCGAACACTTGATGGTAGTTGAAAATTGATGAAGGATGTAGCTCAATTTCATGTTAACAGGTGAAACATATCTTAGTGTGATTTTGTATTTGTGATAACATGAAAATTCTTCTAATAAACAGATTTATAAAGTAACTTAGGGGCAAACATTTCATGGTAAAAAGGGCCAGTATTTATTCTGATTTACAATAAAATCTCTAATCAACTAACAATACAAAGTATATTTTAGTGATTTCTATACTGTGCTATTTCAAATTCTATTTGTGTGATTTCATTACATACTAATACAACATACCTTCTGTGAGGAATAAAATTTTAGTAGATCTTGTCTTTGTCTTCTCAAATCTAACCTGAAGGATAAGAAAGGAAGTTACTTATTTTATTGCTTCGTACTTCTGACAGAAACTGATATTCAGTCTTGTTTTGTTTGTTTGTATCTTTTACATAATGTAGAAAGATGCATTTTTTTTAAATAGTCATAAAATTATTATTTACTCTTAATACTGCACTGAAAGATAACAACTGCATTATGATGATGACACTATTTAAATCTAGATGAAAAAAAAAATTAAATTAAAATACTGTTCGCCATATCAAATTAAGAAAGGAAACAAAAAAAATTGTTTTTTGTTGCTGTTTATCATATTTCTTTTACGTTTATTGGTTTGTACATAAATTTGTTTGAATTGTTTTTCGTTTGCCATTTTGCTGCCTTTTATAGCTTGCTATGCAGTATGGGTTTTCCTCATGGTTGAAGGCCATATGGTGACCTATAGTTGCAAACTTCTATGTCATTTGATCTCTGGTGGAGAGTTGTCTCATTGGCAATCATACCTCATCTTCTTATTTTTATATTATATGTATCAATTATGAATAAGTTTTAGATCTTAAACGTCATTGACCTACTTGATAAGCAACATCTGATCCATATTCATTTAAAGTTTCATATCCAACTCTCTTAGACAGAGATATACATGCTATCCTCCTAGGCTGTGTACAGGCTATCTTTGTAAATCCTGCTTCTAGTAAATACTGTGGAGTCTGAAATAATGTAAAAAAATATGTATTTTACATGTTTTTAGTGAAAACATATGTAGCAGTTTGGGTGCAGCAAGAATATCTTTTAAGTAAATATTCTTTTGATATTTCATTATGGAAAGATTGGTTCTGTTACTTGAATGCTTGGAATTATTAAGTGAAACATACAATTTCCAAATGTAAATAAGAAGTAGCCAGTGCACACTAATTCCACAGCATATGATATAAAGCTTTCAAGTTACAAAAGTTTGCTGATTTCAACAGTAAAGGTTTCATATACCAATAAAACAGTAAGACAATAAATCATCCAGCGTTGGCATAAAAGATTGATATTATGGACCATGTTTTTACGAAATACTAGTATATGTATTATAGATACAATGAATCAATGCTTATCCATTGTATCTCTAACTTAAACTATTGTGTTGATGTCTTTTCAAAATTAAAGCCTTTTCTTCTTAAAGAAGGTGTTGTAAGTGAGTTTAAATAACCATGTTATCATGTTCAACGATGCATTAATAAATCTAAGTTTACAATTAATTGGTTAGAGAAATACAAATATAACATAACACGTCTGTCTTTAAATTATCAGGCATCTGAATATCATCCATAATTTACAAAATAAGACATATTCGATCTTATTTTTAAGTACATGTATATATAATAAGTATGCTACCGAAAATTCTATCAAGAAGCCTAATTCTAGGCACATCACGATTTAATACTTGCATAGAGATTTGAGAATAAACGTTTGTAAAGATATGTAGTAAAACAGATGAAAGCATACTTTATCTATAAAACAAAAATGGACAAATTGAATGTAATCATTTTCTTTTCAAATATGTGAAATAGCCAATAATAATCCAAAAATAAACGGGAAAACATCCGCAATAACATACAAAATGAGAAAAACGGAAAAACTAAAAAATAGGGACAACAAAGAGAATACAGGGATTTGAACCTGAACCGACAAGTCTCTACCTTTAACTTGACTATTAATCTCATTAATCTTAACCATGTTAACCTCGCGGCTACCAACTTATACTATACGATTGTCTAATTTGTATACATAAAGGTACAAACCCTGTGTGTCCGTTGTACCGATGTGTATCATATGTTCATTTATATATATAAAATAGACATTCAAATTGCAACCCATTGGTAGCCGAGAGGTTTCGTCGATGTGTTGATGTGAGTCACACATAACAGATTCCAAGGAGGGGTTCGAATCCCAGTGAAGGCATATAAAAATTACAAAAATTAAAGGTAAGTTTTTACATTAATTTTATTAGTGAAGAGAAATCAGTAAATTAGCAAATTCAAATTTAATGAAATTAGACACACAAAGGAAACAATTGATATGATTTGGTGAGTCCATTTCAGCGACAGATTTAGGAAGCGTTGATTCTAGAAAAAGAATCCAAGGTAAATGAATAAGCTGACGTCACGACAATGGTTTAAGGGATGTTACTACAGTAAACCAACCTGTGTAGATTTTCCACATCCAGTATCTCCAGCGACAACCACCACCTGATGTCTTTGTACCATTCCTTGAATCATCTGCTTGTACTGGAAGATGGGTAAATTTTCTTGGTCTGTCTTTATCTTCTTCAGTTTATTAAACTTAAACCAAATACATCATATCAAATCATACGTCTGAATTTTCATCAATTCTATATTCTAATGTGGGAATAATAAAATTATATTGATAAAGCTTCAAACTGGTAGATCAAAATTTACATGTACCTATACAGATCATCGTCATAAATGTATTATACTCTTAACATGATACAAATTCTATGCTCATAGTGATGGACTATGATGAATAGTCAGCATAGATATTATTTATTGTGTGCTCTAAGTCTTTGGTGAATACATTTGTATGTGTCTCATTGGTAAAAAAATTATTATACCTTTTGTTTTTGAAGGAAATCCACATAATGGATCAAGATATTTCTGAACTGTCTCACTCTGTGTTTTGTTAGGTCTCTAGAAACATCAGCATCTGTTACAAATGAAAATTTTAAAAATATGAATTATGAAATACACATATAAATTTAGTCTGACCATGCTTATAGGAAATTCGATCAATAGTAACTACTCTAAAATCAAGACAATTTCTACAATTTGATATTTACATATATATTAAAAGTGAAATTTGCCTAAATAAAAGATGAATGCGTCCATGGGACAGAGATGCCCCCGCTTGTAAATATGCAAGAGTCAATGTACTGCATTGTATTTCAAGCTTGCTGTTCGGTGTGAGCCAAGGCTCTGTGTTGAAGGCCGTACTTTGATCTATAATGGTTTACTTTTACAAATTGTGACTTGGATGGAGAGTTCCACATTTTCTTATATCTAATCACTATAAACTGAATGTATGTTTGATCAAACAAAACCTTAATTTCAAACGGAATCTGATAGACACTGCTCTTAATTTAATCTAAGAAACATTAATGTTATTGCTGTTCTTCAATCAAGCATTTTTGCCCATACAATGACCTGTAGCAATTTCAAGACATATCCTTGTTAGAGAGTCTGAAATGGTTGCTAACAAACAAATCAAAGTTAAGTAATGTGTACAAACCTACAAGTCTTCCTTTCTTTAAGAAATCATCCACATTTTTACTTTTGATACTAAAACTAATTCTGTATCTGTTGTCATAGTGTTGTGGAATATCAAGATCCCCTGTTGATTCTGTTGTTTTCTTGTCTTTTTCTACTTAAAGAAAATCACACACACACAGATTACAAAAAAACACAAGCCTTAACAGAACATTTGAAGAGAATACATTATTTACTTCCAAAAGAGAGTCAAAGATTTGTATTTTTGGCATCATGAACTACTATAACAATTGAGTTATATATCAAAAGACCCATTAGTTTATTGCTTAAGGTCCTCAACACTGACTTCAAAAGCTTGCAACTCACAGCAAGATCAAGACTAGGCTAGTGCTAGCGCTGTACTGACTGATATTTATAGTAAAGTTTATAAATATTACTTATTAATTTGATATTATTAGAGAAGTTTTCCAATATTACTTAGTAATTTTTCATATTTATAGTGAAGATTTCCGACATTACTTCCAAATTTTGATATTCCCATATGTGTAACCCTCTTTAAATAAAGAATTTTTATAATTATTATTATACCTTACCAGTACTAATGTTGATATCTATACAGAAGAATTTCTAATAATACTTACTAATTTCTTGTTTATCTTTCTCTCTGTAATATTTTTTCCTCTGGAACTGTTGATATTTCAACAAAAATGACCAAAAGTCATCATATTCCTTTGATGGCCTGAATTATACAATATAAAAATTAACAAATCTGAATTGTAATGGACAGAAAGTTAGCAAATTATTTCTATAATTTTCTTGTGACCCAAATTTAACCTGACTTCTTTTAAAGTCCTTTCCAACAACTAACAATTAATAGTTTTTCTAATTTCATCTATACAATGCAACTAAATATATAAAAAAAATTCCATAACAGACTTTTATCCTCTTAATGTTAACTTTTCACTATTGACTTTGTGATTATGGCCATGAGAGAACAATCCCTTTCCCACTGTGACATCGAAAAGTTCTCTTGCGATGCAAAAGTATTTGGAAAACTTATATATTTGCTGTTCTGGAAGACAACTGGAAAGTCTTGTTTTAAAAATATCAGGAGCCTGTGATTATCATATGTTGCTGTGTTATATTTGTTTTTCATTTATTGTTTTGTAATAAATCAGGTCGTTGGTTTTCTGGTTTGAATTGTTTTACATTTGTCATTTCTGGGCCTTTTATAGCTGACTATGCAGTATGGGTTTTGCTCATTGTTGAAGGCTGTACAGTGACCTATAGTTGTTAACTTATATGTAATTTGGAAATGTCAGGCATTATATTGCTGACTATATGGTATGGGGTATGCTCAGTATTGAAGGCTTCACTGTGTCCTATAGCTGCTTACATCAAAATAGTTTGGACTGTGGTGAATGGTTGTCTCATAGGCAATCATACCACATCTCCTTATTTCTATATTTTATAATAATGTTATTTGTAATCTTATTAGCTTTACATGTATATATATTTAAAATTGTTTTGTACATACCTTTTAATGAATTCATCATCTCTGAAAAATATTCTGTTAAGATCTGATCTGTATTGATGAAAATCAAATGCAAAATCTCTATCCTCTTCCCTTTCTTCCTCATTATCTGATTCAACAGCATGTTTCTCTTTGATAACATACTCCATTTCATTCAAAGCTTCTGGGTGATGATGATTTGAGTTCCTTTCTTTTCTCCTTCGCAGATAATTTAAATCTTCCTTTTCATCTAATTCTCTCCGTCTTACTCTCTTATCAGGTTTCTCAGGTGATTGTTCAGTTGTTGATAAACGAGACTTATGAGTCCTTGAGTTATATTCTTTATTACTTGATCTTTTATTATCATTGTCTTTAATTTCGTCATGCATTTTGTCCTTGTCATGCCTTCTGTATGAATATGAATCTTTATATTCACACAGTTTGTTGCTCTCTAAATCTTTTTCTGGTTTTTCACTAGACAATTTTACCTCCTTATTGACTTCTCTTTTGCTAGTATGGTCTGACTTTTTACTCTTATGTCTTTCATCTTCTTCCTTTTCTCTATGGTAATCTTTCCTTTTCTTTTTATAGACAGACCATGACTCTTCATCATCAGAATGATCTTCTCTGCTGTGGTGTCTCTTGTGTTTTTTATGCTTATGTTTATGATCTTTCCCCATCTCTATAAATACAATATAATTGTGGTCAGTTTAGGAATATTAAAGGCAGATTAAAAACAAAAAATAATTCACAAAAGAACATAAATGTACTGGTAATATTTCTGTTGCTTAAATCATTTTGGCTAATTACTTATGGCAAGAAAAAAATAGTTAGACAATGGTAAGTTTTAAAACAAATTTTTCATGATTGAAAACTTAAAATATACTAAAGGTTTTGAATAGACCTTATTGCTATTTAGGAATATGCGATACTTGACCCGAGAATTTGCGACACTTGAACTATTGACGTCATACAACAATCACTTTTCCTTTGTGGCTTTAGACATTTTCTCTTGTGACGTCAAAATTTTACGGGAGTTTCTGTGATACCCAGTAAGGGGGACAAATAGCGATAAGGTGTATTACACTAAAGATTTTAAAGGACTACATTTTAGGCCATTTTTTACTACCGTACTAAATATTAGGAATAGTTAAGTAATGCCAATGTAAGAATAGTTCAATACAAACTTAACTATGTTCTAATTTCAGAGACAAATCACTACCAAGACTTTTACTAACACCTTGTGACACTTGTATGAACCTTTCCGTAGTAGATTGCCAATTAGCCACAGTATTTGGTACCCATTATTTATGTTATTTAAAACACATTAATGACGTTATTCATGTTATTGCTGTGATGAATATTTTTTGTTAAATTCTGAATTACATTATTACATGTACTCCCAACAATCCTTTCACAAAACACTCCAACTGTTACATTTTGATGTATGTCATATATATGTATACCATTTATCAATTGCTAAAAAAGCCTACCGGGGTACATCCTGTCTTTTATTACAAAGTGAATATAAAACTATTTTAACGGTGCCAAACATTATTCTGGCTGTCACTTTTTTCTTCCTTTAAATTTGGAGGTATTGGCCTACATGTTTATTTCATAGTCTCCATTAAAAGAGTGGTTGCTGTAAGGGTTCTTTCTAACCCCAAATATTACGTTCATTATTTCAAGATGAAAAGTGTTGCAAGTTGAATATAATGTTGTGAGAAAAATGAAATAATTTTTGTTGTTTTTCTTATAAAGTGTTGACATTTACTTCCAAAGTTAGACCAACAATCAAGATTTGGTGGAATTTGGGAAAATATTATGGATTTCATCAACATTTAGGCCTAGGAAACATAGAGTGCCAGGTTCAACAAACAAAACATTAAAATCAGATACATTGTGGGTTATTTGTCATAAAAACATAATGCTAACATATCTTTTTTGTTGATGCTATATTTGTTTCTGTATGGACCTAGAAACCAATAAAAATTTGCCTTTTTCATTGAATGAAAGGTCATAAACACATCACTAATACATGTATGTTATATGTTATACATCTATAAAAAATAGCTATGTGTTTTCTGTCTAATCATTGTTTTAACAGTGAATGATTGTAATTACAAAAAATGTACATTGATAATGATCATTATTTGAAATTTTATCTAGAAATAAGAGACCCTTTACAATTGATGCCATTTGAACTTACTAGTACTCCTTTATTCAGAACTCTAGTCTTTGGACAATTTATAACTTGACATATGGTATGAACATTTGACCACATGTTGCCTTATAGGTGTTTTTTCTAGTCATGCTAATTGTATTATGTTTAACAGTTGCTGTCTTATTGATATTTTCCCTCATCTCTTTTGATTTATACCATATAGCAAAAAACGAATGAGGTAAAACTTTTTTATACATAGGCATGAATGGGGCCATCATGTTTATTTACACAATCATAGCATATAATAGGCACTTGACTTTCTTTCACAATATCATTGTATTAAAAGTGATTTCTCAAAAAGGCAGTCTGATTTAAGGTTTTTGATATAAGTTTATTAGCTAGTTTCTTTTTTTTGTAATTGAAAACACTTCATGACAAGACTTTGATGCAATGCCAATACAACTTCACATTTTTGTATATATGTAGCATTGACATGATTGAACGATGTATATATTAAGCCATATTTCACTTTAGCAATTATGTGATGTTGTTATGTTTGTGGATAAATTTTAAGGTTATCAAATTGTTCACTAATAACTATGAATGTTCAACATGTTCAAAGCATTCCTTTTCAGGCTTCTTTCTTAAAATTATTATAAGTGCTTTTCCAGTACATATGTCATGTATGTAATTTTTCATTTTACCATGTTTGAAACTATGTATCTTTTGTCATTCCACAGATCAAGTTTAAATGAGAGAGGATTAAGATCTCAAAAAAATATTTAAAACTTGTCCCATATTTATCTGAATGTCCCAAGTCAAGAACCTTGGAGCTGTTGTTTTTTTAGTTAAGTCTTAAAATGTTGTCAGGTTCTTTTTACATTTTTTTTTTTTTGGAGGCGGTCATTTTTGGAGTTTGTTGATTATGGCAGATCTAATAATATAGCTGTATAGTCTCTGTTTGAATTATTCACAGCTTTTAATATGTTTAAAGACTGTGGGCAATTTAGAACTTGGCATGTTGTATCTATTTATAGTTTTCAATTCATGTATTACAGTAAACCTTCTATAGAAAACTTGTCTGTTTTTTTTAAATCTGTATCAAATATTGACCTAAATATATAACAATGTATAAGTAAATCCCTTTTTGGATCCAGTGTCTGGAGTCATATTCTGATTTGGCTGCCCTCAGATCAGAAAAATTGCTCTTGACACAGAATCCCAAATAGGATTTTGTATAAGTTTGATGCTTTTTGAATTTAATTGAGGCATAACTTTTGTTTACTCTTGTTCATATCATCACATCCTAATTCATGAACATGTATAAAGTAATACCTAAAGTAGAAGACAAACTGTAGAAAATGATAAGATTCTGGGGGAAACTCATGTTCAGTAAAATTAATAGTGTATTTGTGGTGTCAGATCACTTGATAAACTTTGGGCCAGAGAGCTTTAGGGATTGAGATGAATATGGGACAATGGAATCAATTTGCAGCAAGTCAACTCTAATCGACTAATAAGTCAACTAAGACGATCTATTTTAGTCAACTTCAAGTTGAACTGTCTACTATGCCAACTCAGACAAATTATAAACAAAGTTTGTGCTATTTGAATTATTAACTGTTATATTTCACATAAAAGTATCCTTTATACTTTGCTGCATTTGCAAATGAAGCGCCATGCCAAAAGTTATTGGTTTAATTTAAAATCAAATTTCTACTTCATCACATCAAATTGGCATCAAACAACGTTAATAATGATGTAATTTATGGTTCTTACTGTGACATAATTGCATAAGGATTAAGCATTGTGATATAGGAAATGTATGGGAAAGTTAACAAATTCAAAAGTTAACTACAAAATTATAATAATTTAAAGGAGTAGGTCCGGTAAGGGCCGATTTTGGCCTCAAATTTCAGGTTCATCTGATGAAAGATTTTGATCACTTTTTAAACACTAAAGTGTCTACTTCAGTCGATATAATTAGTTTATGTGACAGATTTTAACTGATTTTATCATTAAAGACGCTCAGATTTAAGCTTAAATATGAAAAATCTATCAAATATGCCATAATATGTCACTTTTCAGATGGTTTTTGTCAAAAATGAAAGTGGCCGCAACCGTGTTCACTCTCAACCTTTATATATGTTATGTATTATCATCAAATACATCTTGCATTTAAATATTAAGAATGAACACAAATGCGGCCACTTCCATTTAAGACGGAAACCGTCTAAAATTTAACTCAAATGCTAAAATTGTGAAGATTTCAGTAATTTAGCATGACTTAATGATGCTAATATCCGATATATATGCATTGTATTTTCAAAAACTGCCCATATTTATGTAGCAGAAGTATTCTACTTTCCAATAAATAGCTAAAAGTTTACATTTTAACAATTTTGTAAAACTGATATATTTTGGGGCCAAAAAGGGGTCTTACTGGACCTACTCCTTTACCAACATCATTTTCTTATCCTTTTTTGAACTTTATAGCAAATTTAGTTGGACAGCCTATGTATTATTACTTATATAAAAACCATGGAGATGCTAAGTTTTAAGTTTGAGTAATGCCTCTCCACCTCTGATTTCATATTACCCATACAATCTTCTTTAGTTAAATATCATATGTTTACCCTGAGAGATTATTTAGTCTTTTACAGAGTTGTCTCCCCACAGAGATGTTAAATCACAAAATTATGTCTGTCAAAAATTCGATAACTAAAAAAGAGCTGTTGGTTTATTTTCACTTTTAATTCACGTGTATTATTTATGGAATACACATTTATTATTGAAAATAAAATAATGATATTATACTTAGGTTTATCATAAAAAAGATCATATAATATTAGTTACAAAACTAAGAAAGAAATATTTTCAATCCGGAAAATAGATTCACCGATTTGATTACCATTTAGTATCGCCAACCAAAAATAAATAATGGAAGAGGAGGATGAAAGTGATAACTCCTCAACAAAATTTGCCCAGTCTATTGTAGAACAAGTGAATAGGTCGGATATTGAAGCAATGGTCCAGGTTCAGCGTGACATGTACGATATTTAAGTTTTCTCTCATAAAGTATTTCTAAAACGAACAGATGAAGGTGTAAAATGCACTTGCCTCACAGGCTCTTTTCTCAAAGGTGCCTGTTTCTATCCATGGGAAGGTATTCGACCTTCCCATGGATAGAAACAAGAGCCAGTGACTTGTCTCTAAAAAAAATGCTGTATCTATAAATATATATATATACCTTTACTTTACACAAAGTACTCGTGTTGAATTTTAGTGAAATGATACTCGATAACAACTTTTGGCTGTTTTCTATTTTGTGGTCTTCTATCCCAGTAAAACTTGTTATGTCATGAACCTATACTGCATAGTATTTTTGTACATGAAGTTTTATGAAAAAGGGTAAAATTGCATTGAATATAGGTCTGCCAACTAGCCCCACTGATGAAAAAAGAATAACATCTAAATCTCCGCACCAGTTAGTGATGCTATAAGTGTACACAACAGGGGTCCAGTTTATTTAATCCCATTGAATAAAAGTCTGCCAACTCGCCCCACTAATGAATAAAAGAATTAAACTGTACTGAATTAAGGCCAACAAATTCTCCCCACTTATGAATTAAATCAGAATACTGATGAAAACCTTAAAATGCATCTTGTTTTTTTAACTCTTTCTTTTGGTTAAAATAAAGCAGAAAAGAAGTAAGTATCAGCATTTCTGTAACGTACGATGTTATTGACTATTGTAACTGTTTATGATGTTTGTTTTCTGGTAAATGTAATCACTGTTTTACTAGATAAGTCAAGGATTGTGGGTGTTTATGATAATAATAAAGTTATTCTCCAATAAATACTAAGATTATATATAATAAATAATGTATCTGCAATTTTATTTTAAGAAATGAAGCATCATTTAATTTCGATCATAATCATATATTAAATTTTTGATTTTTATTAGTATCACAAGTGATTATTTTTATTCTGTGTAGATAAGTTTTCATAAGTGTGGCGAGTTGGCAGACCTTTATTATATATTATCAGGATTTTACCCTTTTTATAAGTGGGGCGAGTTGGCAGGAGTAAATTTAACGGGATTTAAACCTTTTTCATGAGTGGGGCGAGTTGGTTAAATAGAGTGGAGCGATTTTTTAGAAAGTAGGGCGAGTTGGTGAAAAAGTGAGGCGATTTGGCAGAGGGGCTAGTTGTCTTGCTTCCATATTTTTCATATCATGCTACTCGCTTGAGATAGAAAATTAATGGTAGAAACTAAGGGCGCATGTGCCATTGTCAATCTAAACCTCAATGAGGTCCTAGACAAAATATTGAGATAAACAGATTATCAATGGTCTTTCAAACTCTAGGATGTTTCTCAATACGCCAGTTCCAAGATATAGTAGCTATTTAGTTAGTTGAATCTGTCATGTGACTTCCATCACCACCAAATTGTAGGCATTGTCACTTCCAACAAATGTTGAGCGAATGGGTGAAAAAGTTTGATGCTATTCTGCACAAAATTTTCTAGCAATAAAAATCTAGCTACATGTAGTTGGTCACCCTCTCTTCTGTTGAATGGGATGTAAATTATTTCTAGACTATCCTGCAGAATGACAATCCTGAAGATGCTTGAAACTTAAAAGTGCAAGGATACAGGCACGCCTTCTATCTGGTAAATGATGTCATAAGGGCGTGCATAATTGACATTCTTCCCCTGCGAAAGACATAATTAGAGAAATAGCCTATGGTGTATAACATGCCTATATGCCATTATTCTTAATGGCATTCCATGTAGGCCATATAAATAAGAAGATGTGGTATGAGTGCCAATGAAACAACTATCCATCCAAGTCACAATGTGTAAAAAGTAAACAATTATAGGTCAAAGTACGGCCTTCAACACGGAGCCTTGGTTCACAACGAACAGCAAACTATAAAGGGCCCCAAAATGACTAGTGTAAAACAATTCAAACAGGAAAACCAACGGTCTAATCTATATAAAAAATGAGAAACACTTATGAACCACACCTACAAACAACAACCACTGAACAACAGGCTCCTGACTTAGGACAGGTGCATGTCCTCTTTTCACAATGAATTGACAAGAACACGTTCACTACATGTCATTTTATTTAACGTATTGATTTTAATGAAATTTATTTGAGTTTTAGTTCATATTTCATGTACATGATGTACATGTATATGCTATCATCCTTTATATTCATGTAAAATTTGCAGCTGCAATTGTGGATCAATCTTTCACTTTGTTCAATATACCAATAATGCAGGACATTTAGGCATAATTTTCTAAATAATCTTATTATTAAAAAAAAAACACAATAATAACTGTTATCATAATTATTGTATCAATACAATAATGATGTCATCCTTAACCTGCATGAAATATTTGCCACTGGACATTAAGCAACAATCAATCAATCAATAAGGATGTTTAATTTGCTTGATATTTTTACAGGTTATCAAGATATGAGAAAACAAATGAAATGTTGATCAATTTCAACCTGTTGTCATTATCTCGGTATGAGGCTACAAGTCAGGAATTCAAAAAGCACACACAAGTTTTATATGAAATGAAGAAAGATTTAGACAGTGTATTTCGAAGAATAAGGTAAGAAATGTTGTCTTTTCGTTTGAATTGTTTCAATTTGTCAATTCAGGGCCTATTATAGCCTACTTTAGGGTATGTGTTTTGCTCATTGTTGAAGGCTGTACAGTGACCTAGAGATGCTACCATAATTTCATTTTGACTTATGTGGGTAGTTGTCTCATTTGCAATCATACCACATCTCCTTATTTTAAATGGTAAACATTTACTTATTTTTATATGTGTGCATATATTCTGAGATTATAAAAAAATGGAAGGAAAGTGTACAAAGTCCTAAATGCCAAAATGAAGTAAATTATGTCATTAATAAGGAAAGGATTTTTGGTAGATTATGACTTGCAGAACATTCTGATTAATTAATTGATATTGTTACTTTTCACAGGCAATTAAAGCAAAGATTAGGCTCAATGTATCCAGAAGCCTTTTCAGGTAAGGAAAATAACAGATAGATACCATTAAATATATATGTATTCACATGTATTATGTTACAGCACAAACTGGAATTTAGTAGTATCTATAATCCTCCTAGTACAAATCAGAATTTCAATATCTATTGTCAGAAATTGGAATTCTGATTTATACTAATGTATCTTCCACGGTATATGACAGTATTTTTTTTCATAGAAAGTTGACAGGGTCCTCTTAATCATTTTAATACTCCAGTTCAACTTATGTCAGACTCTTTTTTTCTAAAATCCATTTGCAGGATATAAAAAAAATTCAGAACAAATCAGAATTCCAATATCTACTGGTGAAATTGGAATATCCAGATTTGTACCAGGAGGATCCTGGATTGAACCAGATGATTACTTTACTAAAAAGAAATAATAAAAGAAATATTTAGTTTTTTTATAATGAAATGAATTAATATAATCAAACTTATCTGAACTAAATAGAAAAGAGGTAGAGCCAATTTTCTATAAATTTATTTCACAGCAGAGCCTTTTTCTTAGTCCTTCCATCATTACAAACAGTATCATAAGTTCATATGAGGCACTTTAAAATTTTAAGAACTCATTAGTGTACATGTATTTCAGAAAATTTGATCAAATTATAGATACCTATATATGGTTAAAATTTACAATTGTGGCAAATTGTGAGTAACTATAAGGAAATTCTTAATTAAAACCAAAATTTCATTGGAAGTTTTTTAGATACATGTATTGTCTATGAGATGAAAATTAATTCATTTATGTTAATGATGCCTTTCAATACAAAATTTAACAAAAATGTGTTTAAAAATTTACAATAATGTCTCAAGATTAATTTTCAGAAGACAATCTTGTTAATTTACTGAAAATCTGTTTCCGTGAACTATGTTGTAAAGTCAAATTGTTTGCCTATCTAAATACAAATAAACAAAATATATGCAAATATTATTATAGATAAAAAGAATTTCATGAAAGTCTATGTTTTTACCATATTTTGTTTTTCTACAAGACAAGTGCATCGGTAAAAATAATGGATAACTTTAAAAAATCTAGTATAATCTTGGATCTTACTAACTATTGTTTTAGTAATATCCTTGATCCTACTAGAAATTACTACAATCTTGAATCCTCTTAGTACAAATCTGGATATACTAATATCTGAATTTCTACTACATCTAGTAGATGTTGGAATTCCAGTTTATACTACATTGTACCTAGTAGGATTTTGGATCCTTCTGAATTACAATTTGTATTGTAACACATATTTTGCACAGTAATGATTTGAGATTACAATTTCCACTGGCAGTGCTCATGAATATTTATGTTGGTTTCTTACTGCTTACAAAGGAGTACTAGTAATTGCTTATTGCATGATTATTATTCCAGATGTATTTATGCCCTTTGCAATTTGTATCATACATAACTTAGCAGTGGGTCTGTTTTATAAATGTTGGACTGACAGTCCCAAAAGTATCATCTGTAATGTTAATTAAAGTCAATAATACTTCCTAGGGGCAATGTTGGGGACCTGTGTTTTATTGCTGATAATATACAAAGATTACAATAAAATCCACTGATTTAAATAGTATCTTGTCAATGATATGAATAACTTTAACAAAAAATCTAAACTTTGTAAGTATTAAGGACAAAACTGGTGAAAGGGAAAACAATTGAGTACAATTTTCACCATTTTAAAGGGGAGATAATTTGAATTTACTTGCTTCAATATTGCAATATATAAGTGGTAATCATAGTAAACGTCTCTTCTTAGTAAAACCTCTACTAAATGGCTTGAACAATATTGATGAAACTTAACATAGTTGTAGAACACTACTTTAGGATGTACAGAAAGGAATATATAATTCAGATTCCACATGTTAAAGGGGAGATAATGGTATTTACTTAATACAATATAGCAACATATGGTAATTGTCTCTCCTAAGCTCAACTCCTCCTAAACAGCTAGACAAATATTACTGAAACTTAATACAGTTGTAGGATATGTTTAAAGGAATATATTACTGGTCCCACATGATGAAGGGGGGATAATCAAATTTGCTTACTTCAATATCAGTGGCGGATCCAGAAATTTTCATAAGAGGGGGCCCACTGACTGCTTAAGAAGGGGCCCGCTCCAGTCATGCTTCAGTGATTCCCTATATAATCAACCAAATTTTTTCCACAAAAGGGGGGGCCCGGGCCCCCTGAAAAACCCTCTAAATCTGCCTCTGAATATTGCAATAAGTAGTAATAGTCATTGTAATCTATTGACTAGAGTAAATAAGTTAAGGCATTTTGCGTCATCACACAATCTAAGAGTTTCAATTGTCAGAAACAAATTGGGGAATAAAATCTTTAGTGTATGATGAATTAAGGTTACATATCGATAGAACACTTTTATCATGGCTTTGAAATGAAATATCCTTTATATTTCATGGTAATGCATGATAAGAATTGCAAAGACCGGAAAACAACTAAGTGGATAAACAAATAAATAAATAAGTATATTTTACCTGTGTATTATCTAAATCTATATATTTTTACTTTAAAATGAATGTGTGCTAATTTCATAAATTGCTGTGCGAACATAATGATTTTTAAGCTCAAATGTAATTGGTTATGCGATTGCGTGCAAATGAAATGAACCACACTGAAATGCATTTTTGTGCAAACTATGGAATGATTCAAGCATGGGTGAGAAGTAACCAAGTTATCCAATTGTTTACAAAAGATTATTCTGCCTTTAAAGAATTATTGGAAAAAATGAAGATATTGGAATTTCCTCTAAAAATGACTTTCAGTTTTCATCCGTATAAAATGTATGTATTAAGCAATAATATACTACGAAACTAGAACAATTCTGTGTTAAAAATAAGCTTGTAACAGTAATGTTTTTTTTGTTTTTTTTTAGTTTGTAGTGATGTTTACAATATGTTGAGTGAGGATGAAGAAGATGGAGAAAATAAAAGTAAAAACAAAGACAAAAATAAACATGATAACAAACATTCCAGTGATCATGATTCTCCAGAAACAGCAGATGGAATGAATGACATGCTAGGGAATCATGGGAAAAAAAGGATTGAACAAAATGGAGGCATTAACTGTGATAAAACAGACAGTGAAGCAAAAACAAAAATAATAAACAACATATCAAATACAGACCAAATTGAACAAATACATATATGTAATTCTGAAATGAATTGTACAAACATTGAGGTCAATAATGGAAGTAGTGTGAAAAGTTCTATACAAAAACAAACAGAAGATAATGGATGAATAATTTCTCTTGATTGTTTTAATCTTATTAGTTTAAAATATTGTATGCACATTGAAGTTGATATGCCTATCATTATGCATTTCTTTATTATTAGCACTAAGGCAATGAGTATTCATCTTTTGTGGTGGATTCAGGTTTTTTATGTTGACAAAATTTCTTCAGTAATGGAGGATTAAGAACTGTTTTTTTTTTTAAATCAAAGTTTTTAATATATTTACAAATTTTCATAACAGACAAATCATTTATATTTAATCACTTCGTTCCTTAAGAAAACTCTATTTTCAAGAAATTTAGAATCAAACATTTTATTTATGAAAAAAATATGCCCCCAACACATGATGAATGGTTGTTGCCTATATTACTTTGACATCTTTATTAGAAAAACCAATGTGAGCATCATAGTAGGAAATGTAGGTTTGTTGACATCAATGAATACACTTTGTCATACATTTTAATATCATCAATATAACAAAAAATGTCATAAAAACTTTAAATTATGACACGATACTTAAAAAAAACAGCTACTCCTTTCACAAAAATTGTTATTAAGGAAAAAAAAATTGTCATACTTAACAAACAATTTTAATCGTAAGATATATTTTTATAAAATATATTCAGCCATTGATTTAATTTTCTTACCAAAGACTTCAAAGTTCAAAGGTTAAATAATTTGATGTACATTGCAGGATTTTCTGTTTCCATTCTCTTTCTCATGAAAAATCTTCTTTAACAGTCTGTAGTATACGTAGAACTTACTATATCAAAGAATGATTCTCAGCGAAAAACAAAGAAAAGAAGAAAAATATAAATGCAAAAAACAATTATGCATCACACCAGTAGCCAGGTGGGTTTTGGGGGTTCAATTGAATCCCCAAGAAGACCAAAAATACTATTTAAGATGAAATTCCGATTAAAGTCAGAACCTCATGACCTTATTAAATGAATGATGGTCTTATTTAGATATTTTCAAATCAATATCACTGTGTTGCTTTCTAGAATGGCCTGATTGTTCTAGTAAACCATGCCCATGTTGGTGAAATCAATATCACTGTGTTGCTTTCTAGAATGGCCTGATTGTTCTAGTAAACCATGCCCATGTTGGTGAAATCAATATCACTGTGTTGCTTTCTAGAATGGCCTGATTGTTCTAGTAAACCATGCCCATGTTGGTGAAATCAACACTGTGTTGCTTTCTAGAATGGCCTGATTGTTCTAGTAAACCATGCCCATGTTGGTGAAATCAATATCACTGTGTTGCTTTCTAGAATGGCCTGATTGTTCTAGTAAACCATACCCAGGTTGGTGAAATCAATAATCTATGCTTTGTTACAAAACATACAATTTTTAGATTAAAAGTCCATATTTTGATGAAATAGAGATGTTTGATGAAAGACCACAGTAGCTAAAAGATATAAAGATTGAAAATATTAGACCAGACAAGATAAAAAAAGAAAGCTCAACAATGACTGAGATCATAAACCCATACTAAACAAATTTTGATATCTAGCAAACCATAGGATATTGAAATAAATACCAGTAATCATTTGTTTAATGAATATGTCACCATTGGAAATAAAAATAACTGACTTTCTTTAGGTTAGCTGACACCATGTTAAAGTCCCCAAGTATGGCCAGATAAAATAACTGAAAGGCTTATTGGAGTGTATTTTTTGAAAGATGAATGTATTTTTCTTTATAAAAAAAATGCATGCAGCATGTGGTATTCTAAGTTGCTTCACATTATTTATTAAATTTGTGAGTAGGCATTTTCATTTTCTGCTTTTTAATTGTGCGTTTAAATCAGATTATTACAGAAATAAAATTCCAAATTATAAAATTTCTGGATGACTGAGATTTATTTTTGGACTGAATGCATTCAGTCGAAAACTTACATAATGAAGTAAAACGGGTTTGAAGCTATACAAGGCAAGGTACCATTTTGATATATGAAGCAAATACTTAATATGTATGCTTTTTTTATATTGTTTTGTAATTTAAATGCCATGCTATTGGAAATGTGCAATAAAAAATCTGACATTATTTCATCTTAGTATTTTATATTGTATTGAATAATTTTTTTTGGAGCTTATTGCATTTCAAATTAACCTGTCATGGATAGGCAATAGAGTTATTTAGTAACAATTACATTTATTTGGCAAGTAAAATATCCTTGAAATTGCGTTTCTAACTCTATCGACTCACCTGCAGCAGATGTTGAATGATAATACGACGACTGCTTCTGAGATAGCTCTTGGTATGATTTCATAATTCAAATGAATGCTCTTTCGATTAATTTAGTAGTTTGTTATTTTAGAGTTATTGGACTGCAATTGTCAGATTTACATGAATTCTTCACATGTTGTACCATATCGTGAGTTTGCTTTGATTGATTTAATGGAAACTTTACATTTCGGTGGAATTGTTGAATATAACACACTGTTCGATTTAAAAAAAATTCAGAAATGTCATTCCAGAGTTATTGGGCTTTGAACATTAGATGAATAAAAGGCAATTAAGGGTTTCCTCATGCATGTTTTTCTACAGAGCCATTTTATTTGCTTCTGACTAAATGCTTTCTAAATAACTAATTCTATTTTTGCAATTATTTCAATAGGCACAAAAAGGGCCTATCATGCACTCTTGGCTCAGCTGTTTATTTCCCATTTTTGCATTTTTTGCAAAAACTATAAAATATAAAGAAAAGCTTTAAACAGCACATAGTGACAAGCAAGACAAGATCTAAAAATAAGTCCACATTGCCGAAATTGTCTTGACTTCTTATTGCCCTGAAATGACAATTTTAACCCTTTTTATACGACCGCAAAAAATTTTGCAGTCGTATATTGGTTTCACGTCGTCGTCGTCCGAAGACATTTGGTTTCCGGACAAAAACTTTAGTAAATGTAAATAGAAATCTATGAAATTAAAACACAAGGTTTATAACCACAAAAGGAAGGTTGGGATTGATTTCGGGGGTTATATTCCTAACAGTTTAGGAATTAGGGGCCAAAAAGGGGCCTAAATAAGCATTTTTCTAGTTTCCAGACAATAACTTGTGGAACGGTGTATGGATCTCTCTGAAGTTAGACCACAAGTTTCTATACCACAAAGGGATCGTTAGGATTGGCTTTGGGGGTAATGGCTCAAACCGTTTAGGAATTAGGGGCAAAAAAGGGGGAAAAACAAGGGTTTCCTGGTTAATGGACAATTAAAAAAAAGTACAATGTTATGTTTGGATTACCTCCCTTACACTGCTTTTAAATTATGTACATTGTATAAAGAAATGTTGTATTTTCTTGAGGTGATTAGCTGTCAATTTATTTTTAGAAGTTACTATTTAAAAATGCTGATTAAGGAATATTACTTTTAGCCATGTCATTTCAGATTTCAGAAATTAAAAAAAAAAAATTTTTTTGCCAAAAAAAAGGGGGGGGGGGCATTGGGAGGGGGGTCAATTTGCAACAGCAAAGTGTATTGCACAAAGCAAAAAAAAAGGGGGGGTAAAATTTTTTTTTTTTGGGGGGGGGGGGGGAGGGGTCAATTGGCAACAGCATAGTGTATTGCACAAAAGCAAAAAATTGAATATAAATTCAAATCATATAACCAATTCTAAGTTCTTTGACTACAGTTATTCTGTGTCAGAAACCTATTATGTGTCATATATTTAATTATAATCCAAATTCAGACCTGTATCAAGCGCGAATATTGTGTCCATTTTTGCCCCAACTGTTCAGGGTTGGACCTCTGCGGTCGTATCCAGCTGCGCTCGGCGAAGCAATTTATTTTAATGTGTTGGGCTATAACCATAGAAGATAAATAAAAACTGTAAACACAAAAAAAAAGAAGTTGAAAATTTGAGTCCAATTCTGTTAAAAGTTATTGCCCTTGAATGATTTATTTTTCCAATTTTTATACGACTGCAAAAAAATTTTGCGGTTGTATATTGGTATGACGTTGGCGTCGTTGTCGTCCGAAGACACATTGGTTTTTGCACTCTAACTTTAGTTTAAGTGAATGGATCTCTATGAAATTTTACCATAAGGTTCAATACCACAAAAGGAAGGTTGGGATTGATTTTGGGGGTTATGGTACCAACAGTTAAGGAATTAGGGGCCAAAAATAAGCATTTTTGTAACTTCCAGACAATAACTTGTGAGTTAGTGTATGGATCTCTCTGACATTATACCACAAGTTTCCATATCACCAAGGGAATGCTGGGATTGATTTTGGGGGTAATTGCCCAAAACGTTTAGGAATAAGGGGCCAAAAAAGGGGCAAAAAACAACAAGGATTTTTCTAGTTTCATGATAATAACTTGTGTGTAAGTGTATGGATCTTTCTGAAATTGTACTACAAGGTTCCATATCACAAAGGGAAAGCTGGAATTGAGTTTGGGTGTAATTGCCCAAAACGTTTAGGAATAAGGGGCCAAAAAGGGGCCAAAAATAAGCATTCTTCTAGTTTCCAGACAATAACTTGTGTTCAAGTGTATGGATCTGTCTGAAATTGTACTGCAACCTACCATACCACAAAGGGAAGGCTGGGATTGATTTTGGGGGTAATTGCCTCAAAATTTTAGGAATTACTCCTGTGGCCAAAAAGGGGCAAAAAACAAGCATTTTTCTAGTTTCAGGACAATAACTTGTGTGTAAGTGTATGGATCTTTATGAAATTGTACTTCAAGGTTCCATATCACAAAGGGAAAGCTGTTTTGAGTTTGGGGGTAATTGCCTTAAACGTTTAGGAATTTGGGGCCAAAAAACAAGCATCTTCTAGTTTCCAGACAATAACTTGTGTTCAAGTGAATGGATCTCTCTGAAATTGTACTGCAAGGTACCATACCACAAAGGGAAGGTTGGGATTGAGTTTGGGGGTGATGAATCATAAGGGGGTTCAAAAAATTTGGGGGAGGGATTTTTTTTTCCTTTTTTCCCTTTTTATTCTTTAAAATTTTCAATTTTAAATTGGTTATTTCTGATTTGTATATAAAAGCAAATAATAATGATATGGTTTGAATAGGTAAATTAAATTTTTTTAAGTTCTTAGACCACATTCATTCTTTGTCAGAAACCTATGCTGTGTCAAATATTTAATCACAATCCAAATTCAGTGCTGTATCAAGCTTGAATGTTGTGTCCATACTTGCCCCATCTGTTCAGGGTGTTCGACCTCTGTGGTCGTATCAAGCTGCGCCCAGCAGAGCATTTTATTTTTTTTATTTTGGACAGAAACTATTGTAGATTAAATTTAAGAAAAACTAAAAACATTAAAATTATCAGGAATACAAGATCAACAACAAGTAGATCTTAGTCATGAATTTTATTATAGTCTTTCATTCTGTGCGGCCATAATATGAAAAAACACATATATTGTAGGTCCAGGTGATAGACACAGGTTCTTGAGAGCTTCTAGTTTTATCCGTTATAAGTAGTAATAGGATAACTAATTTTGGTATATAAAGTAATTGCAAAGTATACCATTCTGCAAGCAGGGTTCACATGACCTTGACCTTATTTCGTAGATCAGTGATCAAGGTTAAAGCTATTTTATTAGGTCCGTTTCTAAGATACTATAAACAGTAAGTAGGTCATCTATATTTGGTGTATGGATTGATTGTAAAGTGTACATGTCTGAAAGGCAGGTTTCATCTGACCGTGACCTCATTTTCATGGTGCATTGATCAATATTAAGTTCTTCTCTTTTGATCTGTTTTCCAGAATATAATATATAAGTTATAAATAAGTAGGTCATCTATATTTGATGCATGGAATGATTGTATAGTGTACTTGCTCTTCTTGCAAGGTTCTTCAGACCTTGCACTTGTGTTCATGGTTCATTGGTCAATGCTAAGTTAATGTGGTTTGGTTTTTTGTATAAGCAAGTTTTTTTTGGTGTATGGAATGATTGTAAGTTTCAGTGATTTTTGTCTCTCCTTGACGGAGTCAAAAAGCGAGATATAGGTATGCTGTTTCGGGTGGCGGTGGCGGCAGCGTCAACAATGTATTAGTTTGTGATTAGGTCTAGTTTATGGTGAACCACTAGTGGTAGGTCAATGATATTTTGTATGCAGTTGTATTAGCATTGGCACATCTCATTTTCATGGAGAATATTTGACCCTGCCCTCTCAGTCGTGGTCTATTGACTTTGAAACTTTTGCTTAATTTACATGTATTAGTTCGTGATCAGGTCAGTTTATGGGGAACCACTAGTGGTAAGTCTATGATATTTGGTATGCAGTTGTATAAGCATTGGCATATCTCATTTCCATGGAGATTACTTTGCTTTGCCCCCTCAGTCATGGTCTATTGACTTTGAAACTTTTGCTTAGTTTACATGTATTAGTTTGTGATTAGGTCAGTTCAAGGGGAACTATTAGTGGTAGGCCAATGTTAATTCGTATGCAGTTGTATAAGCACTAGCACATCTCATTTCCATGGAGAATATTTGGCCCCGCCCTCTCAGTCATGGTCTATTGACTTTGAAATTTTTGATTAGTTTACATGTATTATCTTGTGATTAGATCAGTTTAAGATGAACCGCTAATGTTAAGTCAATATTTATTATGCAAATTTTATTGGCATTTGCAAGTCTCGTTTCCATGCAGATTATATAGCCCCACCCCCTCATCATGGTTCACTGACTTTGAAACTTTTACATGTCATGTCAATGGTATTTGGTATGCAGTTGTATTAGCATTAGCACATCTCATTTCCATGGAGATTGTTTAGCCATGTACCTTCAGTCATGGTTCATTGACTCTGAATATTTGCATAACTTACATGTTAAAGTATTTTAATTTCAACATTTGCATTATCAAAATTATGTAAGAATGATTTGTATAGACTCTTCCATACTCTGAATTCATCATTTTATCCAATCCTTAATCACTATTTATTAAAAAAAAATGGTAGTATTGGGTCAATGTATATCACACTTCTTGAATCAGTTTAAAGTGCTAAAAAAAGCAAAAGCTCCATCATTGAACTTCTATAAATGCACATATATATTCAAACATGTTATTTCATAAATGTTTTCATTCG